GATATTCATCATAATACCATCCTACCCATTAGTAGATCCATTGAATTTGCTTCCAAATTCCCTGATGCAATCCTTGATAAAACTCAATTACAAAGGTTCTTAGGTTCCCTAAATTACATTGCTGAGTTTTATAAAGACCTTAGGAAAACTTGTCAACCTCTATTTGATCGGTTAAAAGATAATCCTCCTCCTTGGTCTTCTGTTCATACTTCTATTGTTCAACAGGTCAAACAATATGTTAAGTCTCTTCCTTGTCTTGGTATTCCCACTGAAACTTCATTCAAAATTATTCAAACTGATGCCTCCGACATTGGTTATGGTGGCATTCTCCTTCAGCAACTTACTCCTCAATCATCTGAACAAATTGTTCGCTATCATTCTGGTGTCTGGAATAAAGCACAATTTAATTATAGTACTATTAAAAAAGAAATTTTATCTACTGTTTTATGCATCCAAAAATTTCAAGATGATGTTTTAAATCAAAAATTCTTACTTCGTGTTGATTGCAAATCTGCCAAATTTATTTTAGAAAAAGATGTTCAAAATCTTGCTAGCAAGCAAATTTTTGCCCGTTGGCAGGCTATTTTAAGTATTTTTGATTTTGATATTACTTATATACCTGGTTGTCAAAATTCCCTCCCTGATTTTCTTACCCGGGAATTTTTACAGGGGGGTAAAGGATGACTACACCATTTACTGCTTACCATAAATCTCGAATTACCTATTTCAAAACCCTTATTAAACAACTTACCCATCGCATTCACCGCCTCAAATCAGCTAAACCCACTACCAAAAGAGCCCAATACATCAATTACCAACAGATTCAAGCTCGCCGCAATTTACTTGCTCACAATTACAATTGTTTACATCATCACCAAGATTATCTAGATCTTCTTTCTGGTTGCTAATCATTGTTTATCATTTCACAGATGTCTCGCCCAAGGCCCCCTTCAAAGGCTTTGGCCTCCTCTTCCAATAAACCAAATCAACTTATTATTCCTCCTCCTTTGGAGTCCGTTACCCCCTCTTATTCACTCGAACTCATTAACCGTTACCAGACCCTTGGTACTCACCATCGCCCTGATTATTCATCTGCATTGGCCTCTGATCCTTTTAGCCAATCAGTCTCAGTTACTCCATTCCCAGTTAACCCTGTTAAATCATCTAGGTCTGAATATACCAATTCACATGTTACCAACCTGTTCTATAAAGAACCCAGTCACCCCAGGAATCAAACCATCAATGACATTGCTAAATTCCATTTTGGCTCTGGATGCCATTTCACCCTTTCCCATCCAGAGAAAACCCTAGCCTACTACAAAGATATTCTAATCAACCATCATTCCATTCTAATCAAGCCCATCCAGGATCGCACCTATGCTTATAAGATCCTATACCATTCCATTTATATTCACAACATTGTTTCCATGGCTGAATGGGGTAATCCTAATCAGCTTCGTGATCTACCTGGCCATTCTATTCCATATAATTATCATGATTACGTTGATGCTTGGTTCAAGATTTTCTTGTACCAAAATGAAACTTTTAGTTATTCTTGGTTCATCTCATTTGATCAAAAATTCAAATCTGAGCTACCAACTTGGTTTCTGAGATGGTGGTCTCACTATGGCGCCATTTCAGCTATCCTTCCTGATGATCTCAAAAATATAATTCATTATTTCAACTCTGTTTACCCATTTTCTGCTCACCAGAAGCAATTTCCCTTATTACTCATATTCATTGCCAAATACAAGGTTCCATGGATATTCAAATGGAATTATGGGATTGATGATAATATTATCATCCGCCAACACACAGTTAAATGGTGGGATAAATTCAATATTCCCAGAATTCTTGAAATTGTTCCAGCAGAATTTCCACCTGATCAATATGCTCCAACTCCTGCTCTTGCTCAAGCCCAGCAGAACCCAACTGCTGCAGTCACCCAAGGAAGTCAGCCCAGTCTTCCTCCAGTCAATCTTGGAAGCCCCTCATCCAGTGGCTCCAAGCCCAAATCATCCAAATCAAAGTCCAAAGCTGTTGCTGCTCAACCAGCCCAATCAAAGCCCAAATCAAAGTCCAAAGTCAAGGCAAAGCCCATTCCACCTCCTGTTCAGCCCAAAGGCAAGTCGAAAGGGAAAACTCAATCATCCAAAGCAGACATGATCCAGTTAGCCCATCAACTGTTGAATCAAGCTAAAGCTCAATCCACCGATTCAGATAGTTCAGACGGGTCAGCCCAGATCCATTCCTCTGAAGAATCAACCAACCAGTATTCAGGACCCGAATTTCAAGATGCTCAGGATCCATTTGTTTAAATCAACCTTGGATTCCATATAGATACAAATTAGCTTCAATCAATACTCTTTTGAGAAATTTTTCTTTTATGATAAGTGCCATTTTGGGAACATGGTAAAAAGTCACGTTTTTTGACAAAATGTCCAAAAACGTGGCTGCCAAAAACGCCAAAAAAGCCATTTGGCAAGTGCTAAAAACGCAGCTCTAAAATTACAAATTAGGGCCTATGAAAAATAAATAAAAAAATAACTCTCTTATGTTGGGTAAGGGTATTTTGGTCATTTTAATTTGATTTGACACCATAAACAAATATTAAACTAAAAAGTAAAAAGCCAGCTTTTTACCAACTTCCCAAATCACTTTCAAAAAAGCCAAAAAGCTTGGTAAAAAGCCAAAAGCCAGCTTTTTACCAACTTCCCAAAACAACCCTAAGTATACGTGTTGAAAGTCGCCGAGAAATTGGTTAGGAAAATTGCTAGAAAGTCGATGGTGTTGGTAGGCAATATCGCACAACAGTTAGTCGCAGTGAAGTAGACAAATATGTGATATTGAACAAATATGAGAATAGATAAGTAACATGTGTACATATAGGTAAATATTTGAATAGATAATTTGATAGATAAATGAAATGTGTACATATAGGTGACATTTTTTAACAGATAGACGGATAAATAAATTTTGAAAAGATAAGTGTCTTTTTACACAAATAATGTTCTTTTAAGGGGGATTTAATCAAAGTCCCTCGTAATAAAATTTTAATGCATATAAAATAATTTCCTTACAAAGTCTAAAATATACCACTATTACCAAAATATACTTAGTGAGTAATTTAATATTTTAAATTTTAAAATAATAGTATAATTTTTTTATCTAGATATTGGTTTTTAATAAAATTAGTATTTTTAAAAATTCTCTCATCAACATCTGTCAAACAAAATCCATATTGATTATGAAATTCTTAAAAAAATATAAATAAAAAAAATGCCGTCGAAATTGGCGTAAACAATAATGTGTTACACTGGTTTATAATAACATTTTACTATTATAAAAAATATAGTACATGCTAAATGAACCAACTAAAAATACACATACATAACATTTTTAAACTTGTATAAAATAAAATAAAATTGTCCCTCGTCAAAAGAGTATGTGAGATATATATATATATATATATATATATATGCATGGGTAATATTGTCCAAGAATTTTTTTTTACTTCGTCCTTGTTCAATTATGCGCCTCCTCTTTAGGAGGTTTATGAAGCAAAATAAATTAGATTGTCATTTTCACCAAATAAAGGTCCATTGCAAGGGTTTTGGCTAAATTTCCTTTCTTTTTTTAACCCAAAAAAATTTAAATTTAGGTCTATTGGCCCAATAATTTCAAAAATAGGCCTTTGTTTGAGTACCCTTATAATTATTTATTTTTTTGCACTTTTCTTACTCTTGATAAAATAAAAGGGCAATGTTAAGAATATCAAAATTATTACAAAAAAATTTCTATCAAACACTCATATTGGTGTAGAACTTACACTCATGTGAGTGATAAAGTTTTTGATGTAATATTTGGAATTTTTAGCATTTATGAAAGTAAAAAGTGATAGCTACCAAACAACATTTTCTATAATCAATGAAAAAAGAATTGAGTTGGGTGAAAGGAATAAAATGAGACTAAATTAACATAATATAAAAAACATAAAAAAATAAAGGGACAAGTATAATTTAGTGTAAATTTTTTAATATAATTTCAGATCAATGTTAAATTTTATGAACATTAATAATTAAAATTTTAAACTTTATGAACAGTGTCACACATAAATCAATTGAATAACTTGACTTTTTTTATTTTGTATAAGTGTGTTTTGGAAAGATGGTTAAAAGTTAATTTTTTTAATTTTTTAAACTTTTTTTATTATTTTATATAAAAAATAATGTGACTCAAAATAAATTAAAAACTAGTTTTTTACTTTTAATCCGTGTTTCGAAATGACCCTATATATGCCCACACTACAAATCTTCAACACTCAATTGACGCATTTCAAATTTTGCACACACAGCCTACAACTCACTCACAATCTCTTTTTGAATGTAATACCCTTGTCAAAAACACTAATAGAAGAAATGTTCAAAAAGTGAAATATATAATATAAATTTAAAATTGAAATGGTGTGGATCACACTTAAAAATGCATTTGGTGGATACATTTGATTTTTTGAGTTTTTTTAGTACATAGTAGTAGTATCAAAAAAAAAAAAAAAAAGGACCTACAATCGGATAAAAATAAATAAATAAAGGGAAAAAAAATGTAGAAACTTACCTTGAAGCTCAATCAAGACCATAAGTCTAATAATGCATTGAAAACCATTATAGAGCTTCATATATTTATTTATTTGAATTGAAACAATAGTATCAATATATTAAAAGTTTAAGTCAAAAGATTTACTAAAGATCATGGGTGATGTCGATTAATATAGAATTAGACATTGGGCACAATTTTTTTTTTTAAAGATAAATGCACAGAATGCAGTGTTGCGCAGCCAATATTGCACACTTTTCTATGAAATTTTTTAGGTGTTTGTACTTTTCCAAAAGCAAAGAAAAAGAACTGTCTAAGGAATACAAGTAATTTTCTTTTTAGTTTGCGTTTTAACATGAATCGCACAAATGATTTTCATGTTGAACTTGAACACCAAAACACCACAGTAAGATAATGAAAGAAACCTTTTAAGTTAGAAAGCTCAAAGTTTAGTTGAAGGGACTTGAATGAGCTTTTCCTTATTTTCCTATACTATACACAAAAAAACTTCATAGATATATTGCATCCAATCCAAATTGACCATGAATTTCCTCCAAGGAATTTGGCAAAGCAAACACAACTTAAACATTAATATAAGTTATTTATAAATACCAATTAATCCACTTATTTTGAATCAACCGCGATCAGAACGGCCCTCCAGAGCTGATGCAGCCGAATCCACATGAACAAGCAAACAAGCATACACTTTTTTCTTCAAACGTTCGACAGTCTCATCTACCCCATTTTTCTCCGATCCAAAATTGCTTTTCACTTTGTCAAGCCACTCATTCGCTTGCTTTAGCAGTGACAATGTGACACCAATATGGTTGTCGGGCTCCATTCGCTTCCCTCCTCCACTCTCCTTTCCTTTCTTCTCTGCCTGGGCCACGCCTGGGTGAAACCCCACGTCAAGCGCTCCCTCCAAGAATTTCAAGAACCAAGATTGTGTCTCATTAATTAGATTCTCTCTTAGTTCTTTGATCTCCTTCAAAGAATCTCCTTTTGCCCATTCTTGTTTTTCAACCCCACTTAGCTCTAGTGAGGGCTTCAAAGCTGCCTTTTGTGTACCTCTACTACCATTTTCAAGGCCTCTCTTTTTGCTTCTTTTGACTTTGTCTTTGTCTTGAGGAGTTGAGTTGATAGAGAAATGAAGTGGCTTGTCCTTTGATGATGGGGCTGTGGAGTTTGGTTGGTTGATAAGTTGGTGAAGGGCAAAAAACTTGGTGAGAGAGAGGTGGGGATTCTCTAGTGATGCAGATGAGCACAGATCAGCAAACATACTGAAAGCAGAGAGTAATGCAAGAATATACTGTCAATGAAATTTTTAATTTTTTTTTCACTTCAACACTGTTTCAGCGTTGGTAAGTCTTCAGTTAGAAATCATCTTTTACATTTCAAAAGTGAAAAACGTTTTCTGCTCAAATATTTTTTATTGACTTTCATTTTTTATCATACCAAATGTCAATAACAAAACAAAAAGTTTTCTGCTGAAACAAACGGAGAAAATAATCATCGTTTGGTGGACAATTTTTTTTATATTTTTAATCAGGCATACTTACCTGAGGCACTTGACAAGAATTGCAGCTGTAGATGATTCTTTTTGAGCCTCTGCTGCTACCAAAGAAGCCAAGTTTCTCCTTCTAAGCATTCCCTTGTATTAACAATAAAAGATTAGGACATAATTAATTTTGTATTGATTCCACTATACAACACTTAAAGATGAACATTCAATTGTTTTTTCAAATTTGAAAAAGTAATCATAAACCCTACGATCATTTTCTTTCTTGAATCAACATATCAGAATTACACTAATTAGTCAGCTAAAAACAAGAAACAACATATCAAGTGAGTAAAGAAGAGTATCGTAGGAAGCTAATGCTTATAGGCGCAGATGAGAGTGGAAATATACCTTCCCGGGCTTCAAAAGGGTGGCCGGTAAAGAGGACCAAGACATCATCTCAGGCAATTGAACTCTATCCCTCGTGTTTGACACACAATTCAAGTTGATGTTTTCTAGTTTGGCCGTCATGTGTTTCACCGTCGTGCTTTTCAAAGGTGTCAAGGCCTCCTTGGTGTCAACAACCTCTGGCTTTGATGTAAGTGCTTCAACACGATTGCGTGAAGGAGTACTTGACCGTGTCTGTTACGCAAATACCGATCATTGTCAATCAATCAGATTTTGCCCATAAATCATGCTTGTGTGGATTAGAAGTTCCTCATCAAAAAATAGATTTCTAGGAACAATTTTATGTGCCTATTTTCATAACCCAGTGATCCTATAGCATACCTGACCTTTAAGCTCTTGTAGTTTGCCCTTGACAGGCACAACCTTCTTACCCGCTCCACTACCCTCATTGTCGATGCTCTTCCCACCACTGTTGTTTTGATCTGCTCCGCTTACTTTTGCATTCGATGTCAAGACACCTTGCATATACCTAGATGCAACCGCTGCCTTCTCCTCTTTGATAACAAATTTCTTTTTCACGTTCTCCTCTTTGACTTCGGTCAACTCATTCGACTTTGAATTAGTAATTCCTTCGTGATCAACTTGGATTGGGCCCTCTGAGGGCTCCAAGATTTGCATTAAGTCTTTTGGGTTACCCACAAATGGATGTCGTCCTGGAACTGGCCTCGCTCCTACTAGGATAGGGACAGGTGTTCCAGGATCCATCCTTTCTACATAGAAGAATTGACCTAGTTGTAGCTTGTTGTTTAAGATGAGTTCATTGTCTTCCTTTGATAATGAGACATATGTCGAATGAGATGAATCGGAGACTTTTATGAAGAAGCCGTGGTTAGGCCATAGCTCGGGACCAGTTAAGGCCGGGACAATGCTGATCACTTGTAGAAGGATGGATCGAAATTCACCGCGTACTTTTACATTCGAATTCATACCTTGGAGGAGCTTGAGTAGTACTCCGGGCGTGAGAGAAGCCATTATTTCCCCTCTCTTTTCTGCGATATGAACTCTTCTGTGAATTTTTTTCTACTTGTCAAAACTTGGAAATGCTGGAGATGAAAGAACCAAAAAAAAAAAAGCATAAATCATAGTCCATATCAAATTAGTCTTAGCCTTTTGAGATATTTTTATCCGTATCAGTGATACAATCATATGTTAGTTAATATTTAACCAATATATATGAATATTGATATCAGAAATTCAAAATCTCAATACGTATTGATCAATCCTATACATATTGGTTGATATTTAAAACACACCATGTGGGTGGGTGTGTGAGGAATTTCAGAAACCCACTGTGTGAAGCAAAGTATTTTGAAAAACCAGGTGGCAAAGCAGTACAAGTAAATATTTGAAATTCCTACTTCAAATAGAAGGATGCAATCTATGTATATCTCATTATGCCCTCAATTTTAATTACTAGCTTTTAAAAAGAACAGAACAACAATTTTGAGTCTTTTATATGCTACAACACACACACAACATGGTTAATTAAATCCTCTGACATAGATTCTGATAATTTTCTCAATAAAACTTCTATGTGACAATCTAATGTAAAACGTCCTATGTTTTTAGGGAAAATAACAAATCAGTAGAAGGTTTGAAAATAAATTACAAATCAATGATAAACTTTATCAATATTAATAATGAAAGTCTCAAACTTTTCCATGTATTTGTAATATTTTTTACTATACACTCTTATTTATTATAAAGGCATAGACACACTAAAGTATTGTAATTTTCTAATCAACAATAAGAGAGACTCAAATTAGTACCTCCCTGTTTTTTAGTTCAATGACAAAAAAAGAAAATTAGTGAATCACCCCTTTCCAATTTTAGATAGTAGGAGAATATATATTTTTTATTAACTACGATCCCTTAATAAAATTTCTCTATGATCATATCATACTAGAGAAATTTTCAAAATTTCTCAGTGAAAATTGAAATATCTTTGTGTCGGGACGAAATTTTTCTGTGTCGAATTTTTTCAGTGAAAATGTTAAACCCAACTAAAATAAAAATACTATATGTCATTTATCTTATAAAATCTTAATATTAGGACCTTAAAAAAAAATTCCCCATGAAAAAAACAACAAGACTATGGACACATAATCAACTACAGAATCAATCATAAATGTAATTTTATGTGGTCGATTATGTGGTTTATTCTGTGTCCGTAGAACTATTGATGAAAAAGTTGTTTTAAATAGTTGAATTATTAGAAGTTATGTTCCAAATATGCCAATAAATTGAAGAAATTAAATGTTTAAATAATGTGTTGAAAAGAACTTTCAAGTATTGGCAGAAAAGATGATGAGAGAAAAACAGAAAATACAAGTATGCATATATAGCAAGAATGCTTAAGGTGAGAAAACAGAGGACAAAAAAAAGAAAAGAAAAGAAAATCCCATGCAACAAAAACACACACACACACACAAAATGTGAGAAAAGAAAACAAAAGAAAAGAAAATTCCATGCAACAAAAATACACACACAAACACAAAATGTGAGAATTGGGCAGCATGAAACATTAGATCTTGGAACTTCATATTGGATATATATGTATATATATATGAGAGAGAGAGAGAGGGTTACCTGAGAGATGAGGAAGAACTAAAGCACCAAGAGAAAATGGCTGAGAGAAAAGCAAGCCGAAGAGGGTCAGAGTGAGGAGGAAAGCCAAGAAGATTTGTTGCAGAGAGAGAGAGAGAGAGAGAGCGCAGCCTTCTGAACAAACTAGGGGGGGTCAGACGTGGGTACCCACTAACAAACCCCAACAAGAAGAAGAAGCAGAAGAGGTGGGGAACCCTGTTTTAGCTTTGCATACCAGCTACGTCACAATCACACATTTTGTTTGTTTAGCTTTGCTTCAAAGTCAAGAGACATTTTTGTGTACGTGATGACAAAATATTAATGCCAATTTGGCAACATCCCACTACAAAAAAATTTCAATACTTTTCAATCATGCCATTTTTTCGTTAAAATATGAGTGATAGATTACGAATTTGGATAGAAATTTAAAAACAAAAAGTAAAAAACAGTGAGTGAAATGAAATGTATTAATAATATTTCATTTATATTTAACTTATTTTTTTTCTTTCTAAATTTTTACTCAATCCACGATGTAAACACAATTCAAGAAAAAAAATTATATTTTCAAGTATTCTCATTTTCATGATGGTATGTATGCCTCTTTTGGGGATGGTACAAATCTTTTTTATTGTGTTAAATTTACATGGAAAAAAAAATTTCACCTATAGTGTAATTATTTTAAAATTGGCTCGGTGATTTGTAACTTCTTCCAATATTAAAAATTCATGATTTGAATATCAACTATAGAATGAAATCCAATTATCTAGGTACCGAAATGAGTTCAATAAATAATATCAGAATGAAAAAAAATAGTAGTGTGAAAATAGAAATTAATGTGTTGGGGCCACCTTTATCAAAATTCAATTGGCAAATTGGTTAGTAGGATATCAATATCTTCGTAGGCCCTTTGGCCTTTCCATGAAGAAGAAATGGAGCTATTAGAAAGGTGAGGAGGTTATTGCAATGTCCTAATCTTGTTGTATTGACTACATATTATATTATACTAAATATGAAAGGCATGACTAATTTGCCTATTGAAATAACAACGTGCAAGAGAGTTATACTTTATATTTCAAGTTTATATATATATATATATATATATATAAATATTATATATGTATAAATGTATGTATGTATGTATGTATGTATGTATGTATATGTACATGGTAACGAAGGCAGTGCTGAAATGTCTACAGGATACATGTTCAAAATATGGCTTCTATCTGTCGTAAGTCTTATTGATTTGAAATTGAATTTTTCAATCCATTTAAACTCAAATGATGCCAGTTTAATTTTCATTCAAACATAAGAAAGTTGAGAAGTGGAAGTATATGGAATTTAATTTAAATAATGTAAATGACCTTGATAAAATTTAAGCTGTCGTGAAATTTCAGTTTTTATCTAATAATAATGATAAACAGAATTTTTTTGGGGGGGGAGGCAGAGGCAGGGGCTGCGAGGGGCGGGGCTGCGACGGCAGACCTGCGGAGGCGACGACGGAGGCGAGGCTGCGACGATCTGGCGGAGGTGACGGCGGAGGCTGCGACGATCGGGTAGAGGGCTACGACGGCTGAGACCTGCCTCCTCTTCCCCTCTCTTCTCTTTCCCCTCTCTTTCTCTCCTCTGTGATTTCGGGGGATTCGGGAGAAAAAAATTAGGGGGATAAATCATTTTCCATATAATAATTCCCTTTTAATAGTGACTTGACTTATCGCATTTGTAGTTTTGATAAAATTTTCAAACTTTGTTTCAAATTCAAAGTGGCATACAAGTTTTGAATAATACTTCACATCATTTATTTTGTGAGATTTATTTTGTTATTTTATAAAATACAACATAAAATTAATAGATCCCACTACTTAATCAACAAAAATTAAATTGAAGCATCACACGTACACTTATTCCAAAAATATTATATAACTAACATACTTTTCAAACGGTTGTGTATTCTTCAGTAATTCAATTTTATAAAATAATATACAAAAAATCTGAATGAATTACAAATATCTACGGACATGACTTATAAAAAAGAATACTAAAAATGAAGTTATAGTAATATTTTTAAGAGAAATTTGGCTATAAACCCATCTTATTTTTCTTTTATTGTTAAAAGGACTAAAAAAAAATTATACTTTTAAAACCTCATCATAATTATAAAGTCTTATATAAAGAACAAAATTTATTATTTAAATATTTTATCAGGCTACTATACCTTCAAGGGATTTTTGGTGAGAAGCCCCTTCCATGAGGCCTATTTTGTCTCAAGCCCACGGATGAAAACAATGGCCCCAAAAGCCCTCAATTAAAAAAATAGCATGAATTGACTGAAATGCCCATCCATATATAAGGGGGGAAATATGAAACAATTACACCGTTTCTCTCCCTTCCCTCTGTTTCATCGATTGAAAACCCTCGTCTCCTCTGAATATCATCGTTCGAAATCCCTAGCAACGATTGTAACCCTTCTCTGAGTCTCATTACTCTGGCTCTCTGGAGCTACTTCGTTACAGTTTCGTCGATTGAAACCCTAGCAAGGTTACAGTCGCTTGGGCTCGAATCAAACTCGGCATTACGCTTTACTCTCTCTCTTGGACACACATTTTACAAGTGATTTTTTCCTCTTTCTGCTAGATTTTCCATATTATGAAGTCTGCGTGGGTTTGTTTTCATTTTGGGAGTGGTGTATGAGATTACGTTGGGTGAGTAGAATTTGGGATTTTTGGTTGGACCAAGGATCATCTGTTCTAAAAATTTTATCATTATCTTAGAATACTTTAAATTACTAAATCATGTGAGAATGTTAAGGTTTAAAAATTTTGAAACTAATGTAGGTATTTCGAAATTACAGAGTAAAATTTTACTTTAACTCTAGCCTTTGCTTATTACGTTTTGATTTCTGTAGTGTTTTGGTCCTGTAATTTCAATGCTTTGAAATTCACTTGCTTCATGAATTTTTCAGAGTAAAATTTTACTTCCAACCAGAGTAAAATTTTACTTATAATGAGAGTAAAATTTTACTTATAATGAGAGTAAAATTTTACTTATTACAGAGTAAAATTTTACTTTAAATCTAGCATTTGTTCATTACGCTTTGATTTATGTAGTGTTTTGGTCCTGCCATTTCAATGCTTTCAAATTCACTTGCTTATAATGAGAGTAAAATTTTACTTATTACAGAGTAAAATTTTACTTTAACTCTAGCCTTTGCTCATTACGCTTTGATTTCTGTAGTGTTTTGGTCCTGACATTTCAATACTTTCAAATTCATTTATTTATAATGAGAGTAGAATTTTACTTAATACAGAGTAAAATTTTAATTTAACGCTAGCCTTTGCTCATTACGCTTTGATTTCTGTAGTGTTTTGGTCCTGCAATTTCAATACTTTCAAATTGACTTGCTTCATGAATTTTTCAGAGTAAAATTTTACTTCCAATCAGAGTAAAAATTTTCTTTCAGTAAAAGTAAAGTTTTACTTTCAGATTCACTTGTTTATAATGAGTAAAATTTTACTTATTACAGAGTAAAATTTTACTTTAAATCTAGCATTTGTTCATTACGCTTTGATTTATATAGTGTTTTGGTCCTGCCATTTCAATGCTTTCAAATTCACTTGCTTCATAAATTTTTCAGAGTAAAATTTTACTTCCAATCAGAGTAAAATTTTACTTTCAATAAAATTAAAGTTTTACTTTCAGATTCACTTGTTTATAATGAGAGTAAAATTTTACTTTAACTCTAGCCTTTGCTCATTACGCTTTAATTTCTGTAGTGTTTTGGTCCTGCAATTTCAATGCTTTCGAATTCACTTGCTTTATGAATTTTTCAAAGTAAAATTTTACTTCCAATCAGAGTAAAATTTTACTTTCAATAAAAGTAAAGTTTTACTGCCAAACAGAGTAAAATTTTACTGTCTCATTACAATGCTTGTACATTTTGTTTAGTGTTTATTTGTTTTGTCACATTGTTGTTTATAGTAAAATGCTACACTGTTGCTATAGGGAAACTTTTTAGTGTTTGAAAATGGTTGTTAGAAGAAGCAAATGTGGTGATGATGATGATGATGATTTTGAAGTTCCACCAACGGTTATACAAAATAAGAAAGTCCCTAAAAAAAAGAGCAAAAGTAGTGAAGAAAGTCCTTCGAAGTTGAATATTGTACATGGAGTACGGGAGAGGGAGAACTATATAAAACAATATAGGTCAAATATTGTTTCATTGATAAACATAATACAAGACACGAGGTTCACTAAAAGACACATTACTGCCCTTGAGAGAACACCTTTTGGGATGTTGTTTAAATGTTTTTGGAAGAAAGATGATGTGGTGTTAAAGAAGTTCAAGAAAGTTGATGATAATGTCATGGATGTGATCAAATCTTATGACTTTCATGCAAAGGGATTTAAGCTTGAGAGGAAAACATGTGACATACGGGACAGTGATGTTACTTTGATTTTTGGGATAAAATCGGCAATGAAAAAAGTAGATGCGTCATATGGGAAGAAACAAGAATCACCTTTTGTGCAGAGAAGGTTTCGTAATATGTCAAGAATATCTGTAAAGAGTTTGCGAGAGGCATTAGGAGATGCGTTGAAAGGCACAACGAGAGTTGATGTTGAGGATGTTGCACGAATAATGTGTCTATTTGTTGTGGCGACTTTGCTATTACCAACAACTGGTCTAACAGTGGGATGGGCCTTTGTCGCCCTTGTAGAAGATTTGGAAATGATGAATTCGTATGCATGGTCGACTGCAGTTGCATCCACGTTGACTACTTCAATCCATTCTTCATTAGGAAGTCCTGAAAATGTCACTGGATGTGTACTTCCTCTTTTGGTAAGTAAATTGAACTACTTTAAATATTATGCAATGTATCTTTAGAGAATTGACTAATTTTGATTTTTTATTTTATAGTACTGGTTATGCGAGCATACTACCCTCATTCAACCTCAAGGAAAAAATTTGTGTCCAAGGCTCCTTCGATAGGACTTATCAACATTGAGGAAAAAGCTAATGAAGAGGTCATTGCAAACACTAAAGCTTGAAGAGGTATCATCTTTCCAAACTCAGCCTTACTGGTTCACTTTGTTTAAAATTATACTTACATAATAAAATCTTACTCTTGAACAGAGTAAAAGTTTACTTACAATCAGAGTAAACTTTTACTTTGAAACATAGTAAAATTTCACTTACTCTTGAACAGAGTAAAATTGTACTTACAATCAAAGTAAACTTTTACTTTGAAACAGAGTAAAATTTTACTTACTCTTAAAGAGAGTAAAAGTTTACTTTAAATCAGAGTAAAAGTTTACTTACAATCAGAGTAAAATTTTACTTACTCTTTAACAGAGTAAAAGTTTAAATCAGAGTAAACTTTTACTTTAAATCAGAGTAAACTTTTACTTGCAGTCAGAGTAAAATTTTAATTACTCTTGAACAGAGTAAAAGGTTACTTTAAATTAGAGTAAAAGTTTACTTTAAATCAGAGTAAAATTTTACTTACAGTCAGAGTAAAATTTTACTTACTCTTGAACAGAGTAAAAGTTTATTTTAAATCAGAGTAAAAGTTTACTTTAAATCAGAGTAAACTTTTACTTACTCTTGAACAGAGTAAATGTTTACTTAAAATTAGAGTAAAAGTTTACTTACAATCAGAGTAAACTTTTACTTTGAAACAGAGTAAAATTTTACTCTAGTTGTTAAAGTTTGCTTAATTGCTGGCTTCTTTTCTTTTTCTATTTTTCAAATGCAGGTAAATCACAATGAACTGAAGCCAATTTCCAGAGAAGAAATGGCCCTCATTTGCAATGATGATGAAGAAGATGCATTGGAAATAGAGGAAAATTTGGAGACTGAAGAAGATGCATTGGACATGGAGGAAAATTTGGAGACTAAAGAAGATGCATTGGACATGGAGGAAAATTTGGAGACTGAAGAAGATGAAGATCATGTAGCTGAAGCTTTAGGAGATGATCAACCTTTGAAGGACTTCATTGATCTTCAAAAGGAAAACAAAAGGCTGAAAAGTGAGAATATGGCGTTGGTTGAAGAACTGAAGAAAATGAGGGAAACAATGCAAAAAATAGAAGAGGATCAAGAGGCAAAAACAAAAGAAACGATGGAAAAGATGAGCAACACAGAGAAAGAAATGGAGAAACTGAGAAAGGAGATTGAAGTACTCGAATCTGAAAATAAACAGTTGGTTGAACAGATTGAAGAAAATGCAGTTCATGCAGCTACCCAAGGTTTTGCTTCTAAAGAAATGCCACATGGTGAAGGAGTAGAACAAGAGCAAAACAATGGGATTCAAAGTACATTGAAAGAATCACCTATAGTCGTAAAGCCATTGCAAACATCCATGGTCAGGAAAATCAAAATCAAGGCCAGGAAGAAAAAAGAGATGTTTGATTTTGAATGTGAGCCAAGAGAGGCAAAGAAAAAAAAAGACCACAAAACAAGCAATTGAAGTGATGTCAAAAGAAGTGATTTGTGTTGACAACTTGTCTCTAAGCCAAGCAAAGCCAATTGAAAGGGTTTTGTTTCCAAATAAGGCTGCAATATGCAAATTGCTTGATGAGAATGATAAGTGTCTACTGAACAAGATTTACAATTTGGAAACCACAGAGTAAGACCATTTTAATTTTGTCAAACAACAGATTTTTACTGTTATCAAACTGCAACACCTTATGACTAGTGCAATCATATGGTCCGGCACAGGAAATAGAGTCTATGTTACATTGCATGATGTGGATGCAATTCTGAGAGATGGTGATACTGCAAATAATGTAAGTGGCCATACAAGTTTCAATGACTAGTGTTCACTTTAATAACTAAAAATAGTTTATTTTATTAACATATATTTAATTGATTTTTATTTTTGTAGGTTATTGACAGCTTCATAGAAATGCTTGAGATTGAGCAACAAGTCAAGAAGCCAGAAAAGAATAAATCATTCTTTTTCTCAAGCCTTTGTTGGGTAAGCCATCAATTTGTATTTAGTTTGAATTGATAAATTTTTACTATGGTTTAGTGTAACATTGTACTGTATTTTGGAGTTAATTTTTACTATTTGGTTTGCCAAAGATTGACAACTCATAGAGTGTGTCACTAACACAACTTGAGACATGACACTCTTATATGATTAAATGCAGTCTTTAGTGAAATGGGGTTATGGGGAGCTGAGAAATCATTTAATTGATAAAGTCCTTGAACATGATTTGAGTGGATATAGATACCTTCATTTTTGCATGAATTCCAATGGGAACAAAAAGGAAGAAAAACCCTACCACTGGACACTTCTTGTATTTGACACTGAACTTGATGAGTGGAGACATTACAATTCTTTAAGGCTAAGAGACAACAGAGAAGATCATTACCTTAAGGATGCAAAAAAGATTGTAAGTGCTTTGCATCATATTAACAGTAATTTTTTGTTGTGTTTTATTCTTGAATTTAATCGTGGCCAAACAATTATACAATGATGTTAGATAACATATGTGGATAGCAAGTTGGCCAACAAAACGAAGAGAGGTAGAAAAAAGTTTGCAAACTTGGTTTCGGTGAAAGATAGTCCACAACAACGCTCAACATCGTAAGTATTTCACGCTACTATTACATGCTTGAATTGGTAGTTTTTAAATTTGACTAAATCTAACAAGATATTGATTTTTATTTAACAGTGTTAATTGTGGAATTATTGTATGTTATATCATGCGCCAAATCATAAGAGATGAGCCTATTGCAAATTCTATGGAAGATGATGAAATTAACAATTTTCGAGCGTCAATAGTGCATCAATTTTTGAATGATTATCCAAAAGCATGGACTGAGGAACAGTTCAACCTCAAAAAAAAATGGGCAAGAGCTAAGACCTCAAGGATGACAATGTGGACAAGTTCTGGGGAACTACTGTGAATAATTTTTGTAATTTCGATTTTTGTAAATGAAAGAGCGGTGAAAAAGTAATTGTAAGTGAAAGAATACTAAAAGAGTATTAGCTAGTAGATGCTATGTCTATTGTTCTAGTAAATTTTACTGTAGTTTGGTGATTATTATACAAGGATATTTGTTTTGATTGGGAATGAATGTTGTTATGGATAGAATACAATGATACAGGTAGAGGCTTAAATTTTTTTTGACTGAATGTTGCTATGAATGTTGGAATGAATGTTGCTATGAATTTTGTTTTGACTGGAAATGTAAGTGAAATGAATGTTGCTATGAATGTTGTTTTGAGTGGGAATGAATGTTGATGATATATGTAGTTGTGTTGTTAGATTTTTTTTTTGATACAGCTCATATGCTTATCTATTGAAGTGTTGATACAGCTCATATGCTTATCTATTGAAGTGTTGATACAGCTCATATGCTTATCTATTGAAGTGTTGATACAGCTCATATGCTTATCTATTGAAGTGTTGATACAGCTCATATGCTTATCTATTGAAGTGTTGATACAGCTCATATGCTTATCTATTGAAGTGTTGATACAGCTCATATGCTTATCTATTGAAGTGTTGATACAGCTCATATGCTTATCTATTGAAGTGTTGATACAGCTCATATGCTTATCTATTGAAGTGTTGATACAGCTCATATGCTTATCTATTGAAGTGTTGATACAGCTCATATGCTTATCTGTTGTAGTAGTGATATAGCTCATATGCTTATCTATTGAAAAGTTTGTTTGATTTGATATAGTACTAAAATGTATATCATCATTGTTTGCGAAGTATGGGAGTAGTTTATGTGTTATTGATACAACACCATAATGTGTATCCACCTTGGATTTCGAAAGTGTTCTAGTGATGAACTATAATCTCATCAAACGTTCTGGCCAGAGTACTGAGCCTTGTTTTCAAACTCAAAGTTGAACAAAAATGAAAAGTGAATTGTAACATAGACTTGGCTGTCATGGAAACGTAGGACGTAGCTTGGGAGGCCAGAGGCGGACCTTTTTGTTGTTTTACTTTTGATGTATTACATGTAAATTTAAGCCAAGGGCTTAACGTGTTTGAGTTAGTACTCTTTTGTTGTAACCAAGTGTTAACTTGGAAAGCTGTAAGCCCATAGGGCATTTGCTTTTGTTGTTAACATGTAATACTTTTTGTAATGAAACTCTGATAAATGAAAGAACGTGAAGCTTTTGAATATCAATGCATGTCTTATTTAATGGGTTTAAAGTTATTATTTTGAGGGCGTTACAATGACCGTACTTCTCGCATCTACCACACTGTACTCGTCTTATCTTCTCACCCCTAGATGGGATCCTATTCTTCCTTGGCCTACCAGGTGGCTTCTTACAAATTGGAGGAAGAACAACAAGATCATCCATAGCTACAAGAGGTTTCTCAACAGTGGGTATTGGATAAATGGACTCAGCATAGCAATCTTTGAACTTGCTAGTGTAATAAAATGGTTCCACATGTGTATACAAATCACCTCGGCTCTTTTGGATAGCAGTCGCCGCATGAGCACAAAGAAATCCATTCAATTGCCATTGGTAACATGAGCAAGTTCTATTCAAGAGGTCAACGCTAACCGATGGCCGGGATTGAACCTCAAAAACGTGATCACTTGAACGACTAACCAACCAAGTTCTTCCACTTTTAAGAGCATTTACTAATGTTGAATCCATCTCCGGACAAAGAAAAGTATTCCATTTCTTAGCTTGTTCTCTCCTTCTCGACATCAAATCCATGATCTTCAACCTAATTGAATCAATCATCTTTGTAGTGGGCAAATGACGAGCTTGACGGATCCATGAATTGAAAGACTCTGCCACATTCGAGTGCATTTCACCGTATTTTTGTCCTTTAAAATATGCATTAGTCCACTTGTCATAGGGCAAATTGGATAGAAACCCACAAACGATCCCTTTTCCCTTATCTTGTAATTCTTTCAAGCACTGATTAAAACATCCCACTGTCGGAGCGTAAGCACACAAAGAAAACAAAAAAACTATTCTACTCCTGAAAGTATTGCTGAAACTTGGACTAGAGAACCTATCCCTCAAATTGGCCTTCAAGTGTTGGAGACAAAAATAGTGGTAAGCAGTAGGTAAAAACTTGGGTAAAGCCTCCAAAAGTCCAGCGTTCCGATCAGATATGAAGGTAATTGGTCTTTCATCCAACAATATATTCGACAAATGCATAAAAAACCATTCCCAACTGTCTGTAGTCTCTGTATCGACAATTGCCGTTGCAAGCGGGAAAAAACCTGAAAAATAACATTTTACAATTAGTAAGTATCTTAAACAAAAAGGACAAATAAAGTAGATTTTTACTCTGAATAACAATAACATGTTAATCTGAGAATAAGTAACTTGTTACTTTGGAATAAACTATAGTAATATCTACCGTGATCCCCATCATTCGCTGTAGCTATTAACAAGGTGCCCTTATATTTCCCCTTCAGAAAAGTTCCATCGATAAACAATAGAGGACGACAATGCCTAAACCCTTGAATGGAAGCATTAAATGCAACAAAAAACCTCTTGAACCGTCCACTTTGATGGTTATAGTCAAGACGCAAATAGCTACCAGGATTTGTGCTCATCACAATATCCATATACCACCGAATCTCATCATAAGACATAGAGAAATCTCCAAAAGTAGTAGTCCTAGCTTTCTCAACTCCCAACCAAGCGTGATTGTACATAATGGTGAGCCCGTATTGATCTGTAAATTGACGCACAACATCAATTGGACGAGTTTGGGGATTCCTACGAACTTCATTAACAATCAAACTTGCAACCAAATTTGAACTCATCCTTGAGTTTTTAGAAGTACGAACTGCAGCTCCACAAGTATGCTCATCATGTAGAGTCCTAATGTAGAAAAAATTATTAGCACTTTCCAGAGATGCATGTACTCGCCATAAACAAGCTTTTGACTCCCGCATTGAACACACAGCAGTGACCCGACACTTCTCATTCTTCACATACACAAACTCAAATCCTATCTCAATGGCATATTTACATAATGCAGTCCGAAAATCCTTTGCACCTCCAATAAATCTTTGACCTACATGAGTAATTCCATTCACCCATCCACAAGACAACAAAGTCCTTTCTTCATGTTGACAAAACATATGGAGTAAATCCATTTCATCATCAGTAATGTTAGATCCAATAGCGTCCCCTGATTCTCCAACTCCATGTTTTTCATTTGAAATGCCCATTTCAGTAATAGTCACATCAACCCGGTCAACACCAAGGGGATAAACAAGCGACAACATATTCTGAAAATCAGAATCATCATCAATCATGCATTGCGAATGTCCAGGCAAACAGCACGATAACAGTATGCAACCACTATTGTCAAACTTCTTCAATTTACAACTTAAGAAATCAGTTAAATCCTTTAACGTGCAGTTTGACATAACCTTGAACATAATGGTACGATCACCATACTTGCATAACAACATAAGAGGTGGAACCATTTTACAAATCTGCAATCAATTAACAGTAAAATTTTACTCTGCATAAAAGTAAAATTTTACTCTGATATAAGAGTAAAATGTTACAAAAGGAATCTAAAAGTAAAATTTTATTCTACATAAGAGTAAAATTTTACTCTAAATCTAAGAGTAAAATGTTGCGGCCTGAATTTGAAAGTAAAATTTTACTCTGTATAAAAGTAAAATTTTACTCTCATTGTAAACAGAGCAATCGAACCAGAATAAAATTTTACTCTGATATAGGAGTAAAATGTTACAAAAGGAATCTAAAAGTAAAATTTTATTCTGCAAAAAAGTAAAATTTTCCTCTGCATAAGAGTAAAATTTTACTCTGAATTTAAGAATAAAAATGTTGCGGCCTGAATTTGAAAGTAAAATTTTACTCTGTATAAATGTAAAATTTTACTCTCATTGTAAACAGAGCAATCAAGCAGAGTAAAATTTTACTTTGATATAGGAGTAAAATGTTACAAACGGAATCTAAAAGTACATAAAAGTAAAATTTTACTCTGCATAAGAGTAAAATTTTACTCTGAATTTAAGAGTAAAAATGTTGCGGCCTGAATTTGAAAGTAAAATTTTACTCTGTATAAAAGTAAAATTTTACTCTGCATAAAAGTAAAATTTTACTCTCATTGTAAACAGAGGATTCAGACCACAGTAAAATTTTACTCTGATTCTCTGAAACAAAAAGCACAGCAATAGAACCAGAGTAAAATTTTACTCTGATTCTGTCAAACGAAATTAGATCAAACACAAAAAAAATAAATCAAACAAACAAAAATAAAAAAAATTAATTACAAATCAACATACCTAATTGAGAAAAAAATCCTCTACAACTCGATCAACAATCACAAATCTCAATGAAACTTTCGTTTAATTGAGAGTGTTAATCATCGGCCACCAAGTAAGAGATGTTCGGCTGCGAGATTGTCTATTGTTGAACAAGTGAGAGATATTCGGCTGCAAGATCTTCAGATTTGGAGATCGTCTTCATCGATTTTGTGAAGTATGATCGATTTGGAGATCGTCTTCATCGTCTTCATCGGCTACGAGCTCAGATTTCAAATTTTTCATACGTATGATACTATATATATAAGGGCACTATTGTGATAAAAAAAATAGAAATTATAAAATGTCCTTATTAAGTTAAGCATTTCTTACTCAGGGACTTTTTGAAAGAAAATTAATTGGCTTATCCTTTACCCTAATAAAAAGGCCCAAAATGGGGGTTCCACCAAAAATCCCTACCTTGAACCAAATCTTCTCCAATCACCATCTCATATTCCATTCACTTGTTTATTAGACTAAAATTCTAACAAAGGTTCTCCCTCTTTCTTTAGTTCTCAGGTCTCTCTCTCGATCACTCTTTTCTCTAGTTCGTCTTCAATATATATGTATGTATGTATGTATATATGTATGTATGTATATTATATTGTGAATCTAAATGTCGTCTTTGATTCTTTGTGTAATCGTTCTCTCCTAGCATCTCAAATTTCAATCTCTCTCACTCTCTGCCTCTCTCATCTACACAACGTACCCTTGTTCGCATGTTGATTTGTTATTAAAATGTTGATTTCTAAAGAAATCGAGAATTTAGGGTTCAAGGTTTGAAATAGTTTCCCATTAATGGTGGATTTGAGCAAGTTTTCTATAATTATTATAGATTAAAGATCATCTGCCACCTATGGTTGTTGATTGTTGTGAACTGATCTCCAATGGCAAAAGTGAAGAAAAGAAGTTGGAAAGGGAGATTGTGCTTGGGAGCTTCTGGTCTTCTGAATCTGGTCTCACAGCTTTTGTTTGGTGTTCAATCACACTATTTGTATAGATAAAAGGTTGTGATTTATTCAAAAATTTGATCTGTTTATTTTCGATCTTCTCAAGTTGTTTTTTTAAATTATTATTATTATGTAAGTTTAGATCATTTTTTGCTGTTGATGATGATGAAAAAACATATTGCAACAGATACTTTTTTTTTTTTCTTGTGTTGATGTTGATGAAAATGAGACAGATTGTAATAGATATAGAGAACATGAATCCGAGCTATAGATGTCACCTTGTTATTTCCAATTGGCTTTTTTTTTATTATTATTTGTTAATAGATCTTAGAGTAAAATTTGACTCTGATTCATTTATTTAGTATGTATTTTATTTTTTATAACAGTAAAATTTTGTTTTGGTTAAAAACATGTTAATTTGCTTAACAATATAAAATTTACTTTAAATCATAGTAAATTTTACTTTGATTCAGAGTAAAATTGTACTTTCAGAATAAAATTTTACTCTGAATCAGAGTAAAATCATAGTAAACTTTACTCTGATTCAGAGTAAAATTTTCTCTGAATCAGAGTAAAATTTATTATGATTCAAAATAAAATTTTACTCTGATTAAAAATATGTTGATTTCCTTAATGATATAATATTTTACTTTAAATCATAGTAAACTTTACTCTGATTTAGAGTACTGAATCAGAGTAAAGTTTATTATGATTCAAAGTAAAATTTTACTCTGAAATACACAGTGAGGATGACTTAATAGGAGAGCTGATAGATATGAAGGTAATATAATAAAAGAAACAAGTTTTAAAATATTAGGAGATTTTGAAAGGACCTATATAATTCTTTTCCTTTTGAAAGACAAATTAAACAGTGAGGGATCTATCACCAAATCCTCAAAAAAAAAAGGGTTTGACTTCCCTCCAATCTTATATCAGATTAGAAAGTCCCGTTTCAATAATTCGAACTATACAATATGAAAAATTCGTCGAGTACTATATGCTTATAAAAAATCACATTGATCGGATATCAATAGTTACATAATCAAATAAGTTTTGTATAAATAAATAAATAAAAAATATACGATAAAAAAATAAACAGTTGACAAAAATCTAATCCGATGACATAACTATCGATATCCGATGAACGTAATTTTTTACAGACATATAATACTCAACAAGTTTTACATATTAAACGGTTCAAATTATCAAAAAAAAAAACCTATAATCAACCCTCACAGACCTAACAATACCCTCCAACCTTACCTGAGACTAGTGGAAAGCCGGTCCTTTTTAAAATTATCACAATTGTACACCACACATAATGGACATGACGGAATGTGTTAAGTTGCTTAGACAAGAAAGTCTTCTCCCTATCCTCAAAAAAAAGAAAGTCTTCTCCCAGATACATGCAATTGAATATTGCCTTCTACCTTTTATGTTGGGTGTAATAGAGTGCAGCTTCCTTTTTCTTTTTTTTCTTGCTTGAAACTTACTAAAAAGTAAAAAGCTAAAAATACTTCCTTCCTAACTTTAAAATATTCAATTTATGTACATTATTTCTGCCAAAATGAATAACATCAAATTTCCGGACACAAATCCCCAAAATAACCAAACAGGGCAACTTTCATGGTTAGAACTAACCTGTGTAGCTTATCCCCGTTGGACTAGAAAAATAAATAAAATCGATTTGCATAACCTGTAAGACCAATCAGTGACAAAAACTTGTGCCTGTGGAATGAGCATGTAGAGTTTAATCAGCCATTTATAACCCCCTAATCAATTATCCTAATCTAATCTCCAAAATTCCAATCTATGCAGTTAAAAAACATAGCAGCAGCGAAGGAAGAAGAAGATGACAAGTGTGACGATATTGTAACCAAACTATAGCCTGCATAAATACATTACTCTTCTTAAAAACTCTTAATATTGTTTGTATCTAACAAGAGTTTTCAACAACTGATATACATCACACAAAGTCCAGTTCAAAAGAAGACCAAGAAAAGAATAGAATAGAATGCTTCAACTACCAAAATCACGAACATTCTGCCAATTGGCAATTTTTTTCGCTTAATACAATATACAAATGTATCAATTCAACACCAACTATAAGTAAACTGACTAAAATCACGAGGAAGGCCTCACAAATCCATGAAGATATACATAACGCCATTGTATCTTATATAGATGGTTGGTTGTCCCGTGCCTACCTCAACCACTTGTTATCCATATATATTTGTCATCCATTGCAGCCTATCCTAGAAGATAATCGATCCCAAACAATCAGAGTCCAGAGCTCCTTATCTAGGCTTTGAATCGTTTCCCTTGCTCCGGAATGACGACAGAGAAAAGAATGATCGTGGACCTGTAAAATTTTAAAACCAAGCATAAGCATATACCACTTTTAAGAAATACTAACATTTCTATTCCTTTCCTCAAGAGGATGAAGCACTAAAAGAATGACAGCCAAATACTAATGAGCAATGGTGATAATTTTTAGGTGATTGCTACATAGTAAGGCCATTCAACCATGTAACGATAAGTCACGGACTCGCACACAGGCGGGGATTCGAACCCACACTCATGACATTGCGTACAGTTTGCCCAGGCCAGGAAGGTTCGTCCTACCAACCATATATGTGTTGTTGCCTGGGTGGCTAGCTCCAAAGAGAGTGGAACCTAGGACCTTAGGACTTGTACCTCAAAGTCTTACCAAAGTGCCACACCCCTTTGGGTTATAATGGGGATGATTGCCATTATTACACTTTACAGCTTGAGATTAGAATTGTCAAAACCATAGGAAATCTAGGACTGACCCGCAAGAATGGCACAATTAGAATTTATAATTTATGCATATCAATTATACATAAGGGTTAAAGTTTTTGAACAATCAAACAAATTCAAAAGTGCAGAAATACTATTGAGGTGCACAGAAGAAAGTGGCAGTAAATTTATGTACATACATGTGTGTGCTTTTGTGAGTACACATGCATGCGTATGATCACAATGAATTCTTCATGCTTTTAGCAAGCAGCAGTCTAGAATCTCATGTTCAGATTTCACAAATTCAGACCATTTGTTAGCCCCAAATTTAAATCCATCCAAATCCACAGGTTTTTAGCAATTTTGTACAAGCAAAATCGACAAGTTTTAGCCAATTATCCAAACTTCAAAAGTAAAAACAAAAAACTCACTTGTCCCTTTCACCAAATTTTTCTGAACACACGCAAATATTGGTGCTAAAAGTGCAACAGAAACTGGTGTTTACAGCTGAAATTGGCAGTGCATCAAAGATAACACGGGTGTGCATGGGCTCTTGTAAGTTTGAATCCACAAATTGAAACTCACCAGCTCCTCTCCATTGGAAGCCTTTTACCAGCATTATAAATGAATTAAGACAGGTTATATTTTTCCCGGTTATAAATGAGCTGAAACAGACATCCATTAGACCTTAAAAGTAGCCTCATTCCAGTGGTCAGCCATATGGTCAAACCTAGGTTGGTGAGAGAGGCCGAAAGTAGTCATCTTAAATCAGTTCAGAATTTTCCTTGTATGAGACAAGAACTCCGGCTCCTGGACAACCAGATCCTGACAAGCTTTCACTAGGCAGAGAATGGGACGAGATCCAATTCTCCATTCTAATCATATCCAGACCTCAGAATTTGATTCAATAATCACTTCTCTGAAGCCTTGGGCAGGCAAACAAAAAGCTTAGGCCCTTTCTACCAATTCATTATTGTAGGTACTAAATTGAGACTGAAGCCTGTAAACCATTAAGCATCCTCAACACCAAGGATGCCACCTGGCCCTGATTTTAGGCAAAGAGGTGAAAGATTATATGCACAATAACCTCCTAACCAGCATAATATTAGTAATATGGAATTTATTCTTAATAAAAAAGGAGAAAAAAAAGACATGAATGGCCATCAAAAATCAACCTAAAACCATATTAGGTCCGGAGGACAGCCCCATACACCACCTTTCTATCTAAATGGTTGATGCCACAGAACAAAGTCTTAGGTATTCAATTGAAAATCAAAGCCTCTACAAACTTTTTATCTGTTCATTTAAATTACGGTGTGAAAAAGGCAGGAATGATGTCCAGTGGTGCACATAGTTTCTTCAGATGAATTTATCAAGTTACTGCTAAGAGAAAACAACAAGAATACACTACTAGGAAGGGCTCACAGGCAGTCACCTTTAATTGAACTTCCAGACAAATGATCCTCCCTCAGTTTAAAGTTCGCGGGAGGTGCCGGGATAGAACTGTGTAAGGCTTGATCTGCAAGAAGAAAGACATTGGTTGCTACTAGATGATGCAAGAGTCATCCACAATAAAATTAAAAGATTAAAAGAAAGAAGAAAAGTAAAAAAGAAAAGTGTGCGAGTAAATCAAAACAAAGTTTTAGCAGCCAAGCATAACTGAAACCTCCCCAGCTTCTCTCCCACACATACATTATCTCTAAACACACACCAACTAAGCAACAAAGAAAGCAAGAGCCTAATACATCAAAAAGTTTACCCTCAAACCCCCCAACCCCAATAGAAGAGAGGGTGGGGGGAAAAGAAAAACACAGTACTGCAGTCCCTAGAGTGGCTTTGTCTCTCAAATCAACTCAAAGGTTGCATGGACACCAATATCAGACAAAAATTCCAAGGGTAAGAGAGTGCCTTTAAAGGTCTGCATTAAAAAACATATTAAAATATCTCAGCCAATATCCGTTTGGTTTCATTTTCAGAATCTATTTCTGAAATTTTTTCAAAAAAAAAGAAAAAAGAAATTAGTTTGACAAAAATAAACACCAAAAAGATATTTTCAAATTTTCAAAAATTATTTCCACCTCAAAAAAGATAAAACCATATGAAAATGAAGAGTGCTTTTTATTTTTTTCAATTTTTCCACCAAATAAGTTTTTAGTGTCTTTGAAATGTTTTCAGAAAACTGATTTTGAAAACTAACCAAACAGAATAGCTTTTCCATGGTAAAAAAAAGGTGGAGTAAACCTCAAATTAGTTCCTAGGGATTCAAGTCCCTGAAGTTGATCTGTGAAAACAAAATTTAGTAGACACTTTCAGGAAAGTCAAATCAAAAACTGCATCAACTAATATTAGTGGTGACAAACCTTGTGCTGGATTTGCAAATATTCAATGAACACACTAGCTTCCCACAATTGTAATTAGAAAGCATAAAATTGCACCAATATAGTATTAAATCAAATTTGAATAAATAAATAAAAAAGAAAAAAAGAAAAGTGTTCGTGATTTCCAAAGAACTTGAAAAAATGATGTTCAAAACTTGATACGATGTTAAGCATGAATTCAGTTAAATTTTCAGCAAAAATGAATGAAGAAAGTAGGAAGCCATGGGTCACCTTGTTCACTGTAAAACTCACTTTCGTTGAAGCTATCATCAGAAGGATGACCTTGGGAGAATCCCATTCTCGACTTCCTCAGATCTTCTGATGACCGATTGGCAGGATCTCGTCCATCTTCAGTATCATCATCTCCTTCAGAAGTTGTAGCAGAAATCCAGTCAACCAAACTCTCATTGCCACGACTTTTCCGTGCAAATTTTAGTAACCGTTTAAATCCTTTTGTCATATCTTTGCGCGAATGACTATGAGAAGAATTAGAAACTAGAACAGGTTTCTGAGCACTTCCCCATTTCTTTCTCATTCGAGCAGCATCAGCCTCTGCTTGATTAAGAGAGTGTGAATTCCAAGACGCAGGGCTCCCCATTGGAGAGTCTGCAGAGGCATCAACATCAGACGTCTCATGTGCATAAGAAAATGCATGTTGCATGCGTGAATTCCATGACACGGGGCTTTCTGTAGGTGAATCTTGCACAGAATCAGCAGGGTGGAAAGTAGAAGGCACAGCAGCAGGCAATTCAGACACAAAAGAAGGGTCCACTTGAGAAAAAGATCTCAGAGCATCACCACTTTCTGACCCAGAATTAAGCAACTTGTCAGATTCCTGGCTCAGTCTTGGTTTTCCATTATCCATGCTAGCATGATCTTCAGTAATCATTTCAGACTCTTCCTCTTCTTCATCTTTTACTTCATCCACTGACTCTTCTGGCTCAAAAGCCAATTCATCTGACTCTTCTTCATCGTTCATATTCTCAGGTTGCATTGAAGCCTTCATCTTGGCTATAACAGCACCAGCACCAGGACCTATACCATTACCCTTCCTGAGGAAAGGCTTTGACTCCACACTCTTTGGAAATTTGTCATAGACAGTATGTTCAGTTTGCTCTTTATCAAATTTTAATGGTGTCAACACAATGCCCTCTGAGTCCAGAGAGGACAAGTCCTTAAACTCAGCAGGACTTGCAGTGCTTTTACCTGAGGTCTGTGATCGCCGTGGCTTCTCTTCCTTCACAAAGGGAATCTCTTCACTGATGCTTTTGCTGCGGGCATAGTTTCTTGCTTGTGGGCGAGTTGCTGTTTTGCTAACTCCAGAAGAAGGCTTTGTGTTTTCTTTTCTCAAGTCAGAGAAGTTGGGGACTGACTGTGCCAGAAGATTTTCAGACTGCATTCTTCGTCTCCCAGAACTAGGGTTAGAAGATTTCACAGCTGACCTCGGAACTGGTACTGCTGAAGTGCGAGGGGTGGAAGAAGACAAACTTTTATTGGGTAAAAGCTTCTTATTTTGGGTGTTTTTAGAAGCAGTGTCACCTAGAGATGTCTCACCAAAAAACCTATCATGACCAATAGGTATCTGTTCTGCAAACTCAGATAGATCTTCTTCATCTTCACTCTGCAGAAGATCTATTGGGTGCTGTCAAAAGGAAAAACATTCTAATGATCAGTTATAAATGGTTAAAGAGAATCTCGGACTTCATTCTTAAACAAACATTTAATCTAACAGTCACTGGTTTTACTTTTCCCCAGAAAACTTAACTGAAATGCAGAATACCTGTTCTCTTTTCAGAGTTGACCGAGTATTGAATGATCTGAGTCTCTCTGCACGCCGACGAGCACTAAATGCAGAATCTTGTCTCTCAGCAGACCCTGAAAATTTGGCCCTCATCTCCGCTCTACTTCGCTCGAAGCTATCATGCATTGCCTTCATCTTGGCCTCCTTCTCTGCCCTTTTAGAACCCCACTCTTCCCTAAGCTTTGCATCTCTTTTCTGAATATATCTTTCATAGAATTTTCCTCTGGAATCATCTGAAAGACCAAGCTCAGAGAAATTCTGCTTTAGAGAATCACCATTTTTTTGATTATCTAACGTTTTCATTGGTGGAGTAACACTAAACTGTGACAAAATGCTTGAACCTCTCAAAGGTTCATTCACCGTATTTTTGTCAGGCAATTGTGCAGAAGCTGTCTCTGCTGGTGGTTTTCTGTATGGGAAACTCACTGCTTGTTCTATCTGCATGTCAGCAGGCTTGTTTCTCCGTGCAGAACTGGACTGCTCTCCAGGAACCCGAAGTTTATGCTCAGCAAAAAGCTTTTCAAGCTCATTTGCTTTCATTTTCAGCTCGTCATTGCGTTCCTGGTTTCCTTTAGACTGCCTTACCCTCTGAGCCTGTTCTCCTGACACAGCTGGAACTGTACCAACATCTTCCTGACCTTCCGAAATCATTTTACCAGAGAAGACTGGCCTGCTATTTCTATAATCAGAAAGGCTTTCTTCCCTCCTACCCTGTGATTTCTTAATCTGTTCAGAGACAGAAACCTGTTTTTGGAATTTCATCCTTTGGAGCCCAGAATCTTCCCCTTTCGTTGTGAAATTGACAGGTTGCTTGTCGGATGACCCCAATTCTTTCTTTCCCACTTCCTCAACTTCTCCAAAGGACCTCCACTGGGACGGTGAAGCTAATGAATCACCCTCAATCCCTTTATACTGAACAGCAGGGGCTTCCCCAGATTTTTCTCCAGAACCACCTTCCAACTGCCCAGAGTCCACAGCTGTCTTAGGATGTGCCTTAAATTGAGAAACCGACTGACCTCTTGATCCAACACCTTCCGCTCCCAACTGGGTCTGCGGAACAGCCTGGTCTTTCTCTCCAGCAACAACTTGCTCTTCGATACCACCACGCTTGTTACCAGAAAAAGAACCCTTGAACCTCCTTTGCTCCGTCAAACCAATCTGCTCTGCAATACCACCAGGCAAAGGTGTGAATTGGGTTTGAGAACTTACCTGATCCCTCAAACTCTCATCCCCAGCGCTGCCAAAGGAGGACCTCGACAGAGTCTGAGTCTGAGTCTTACCACGGGTTCGATCTTTCCAATCACCACTCCCAACTCTTCCCAAGGTGGAGGTCAACTTATTCGACTCAGAATCATTTGTTGTCAATTGGGTTCCTGGCTTTAAACCCACCTTTGTCTCAACAACCTCCTCTTGGCCAGCCCGAACTTGAGAATCAGCTCGATCATTCAATGCATTTTGCTCCTCTGACTTGGTTTGAGAAACAGAGGAAGAAGAAGGGGTAAACAGAGGGTTCTCAATATCCTTGTTTTCACCACCCAAATCAATACTCATGTCGCTGGCACCACTCCATCTCCTCAAAACCGCCTTCTCTGCAGCGACAGTCGGAGCAGACGACACATCCGAGGACAACCTCCTGAGCTCGGCAGACTTCGCAACGGCGGGTTTTCCACCACTACCACCACCACCACCACCAGAACTCTCCTTCTGTTTGTTCTCGAAGAGGTTGATTCGGTCCTGAACGCTGAGCCGCCTCGCAGGCTGAGTGGGTTGAGTGGGCTCGTTCTGAGTCACGATCTCGTCTTTCTTCTCTTTGCTATCTTCCCTGTCGACGCTAGACTCTCTGCTACGTCGTATGGGGAAGACGACTGAGGAGGGCTTCGTGGGTTGCTGCCACGTGGAGGGTTTTGATGGGTCGAAATGTTGTTGAGTTGAGTTCGGTTCTCGGCCGGCCGAGTGGCGATGGTTGGGCCCACAGCCAGGTTGATCATCTGTGGGGTCTTCGTCTAAGGACATGTCCGAGCCGCACGAAGATCGGACGGCTCGATCGTCCACTCCGGCCTTCCATGGGTTGATCAGGTCCGGTCTTCTCTCGCACACCGATATGAACTTATTGCATGCCTCGCTGCATCAAATCAAAATAATATTTACGAGTCATATATAAAATTCATAGACAATCATTTTTACCCCCTCTTTTTTTATTTTATTTTATTTTTTACATGAAAAAATAGAAAGATAAATATGGGTGGGTCAACCTCGAAAACAGAAAACACCACAGCATCTGCCTTACCTGCCAATATTGCGAGTGAATTTGCCCTTTTTTTGGTAATTAATGTTTAATTTCACACTATTCTATATTATCAACTTTTTTTTAATAAAAGTTATATTGTGATAGTAGCTAATAAGATGGCAATGTTAGAGAAATGGCCTTTCAAACATGGAATGGTTAACCTAATTGCTTGACTAATCAACTAGCCCAAGATCTTCGGTATCTTTATGTTTATTCTCAATTATTTGATTATATTTCAAGATTCACCTATCTTAAAATTTTCACATAATTCAATAATAAAAAATGTATTGAGACAAATGCTCACATATAGTCTACATGGCTGAAATCAAGAGTGAAATCCGAAATTCCACCCTCTCAGTGTCTCAATACACTCTCAATTATTAAATTATGTAAAAATTTTAAAATACAATAGATCTCAAGACATAATCCACCAAGACTGTATTTGAATTGTTGATTTGTGTAGAGATTTAAAAAGGAAAAATGTGGATTAAATATAAATGAAATATAATTATATTTCACACACTTTTATCCTTTCATTATTTAAATCTCTCCGTAAATTCATAATTCAAACAGCTTTAAGAGTAGATTGAGATAAATAGTCAAAAAATAATAACAATAAATTAAAAGATGCCATGTCTAAAGCAGGGACAATGAGTTGAGGAGTCATGGGGGGAAAATCTTTTAATCTGTAATCACGCAGTCAATTAAATCACAAGGCGGTCCCAGATGCCCCCTCACAGATGATATAATTTCATACCCGACAAGGTAAAAAGACCAGCATCAATGGATCCAATGTTTTGACCAAAACACATTATTCCAGTGCTTTGTGCAATCCGGTTATTGTTTTGGCATTTTCACACCATCCAAACAGGGCTGCAATTAGATAACACTGTGTAATCGTTAACGACACAGAATTGTCCAAAAAATCGACCACAGTAGGCTTTGCATAAGACAAGCTAGAAAGAGGCAGATTGAGACAATTCATTCAGTGCCTGCCTCTACCATAGATCACTGTATGTGAAAGCAATTCTTTTTTCGTGTATAAAATTTGATACATAATTATTTTATACGAAATGAGACCTATATTTAGAATATAAATCCGTGCATGAATTGAAAAATAAAACAAAAATGGAAGAGAAATGAAGAAAAAAGTAAGTTGTGTTTGGTTGAGCTCTAGAAATGTGATTTCAATTCTTGGTTTAAACGCTGTGTTTAGTTTGAACTCTGAAAACGTGATTCCACACCCACTTTTGAAAACACGTGCATCCGGTCATCCTCCCGAACGTCCAGTTGGTCGTCCGACCAGTTGACCAGAACAGTGTCTTCTTTTCTTTTCTTTTTTGCAATTGGCACCCATTATTTTTTTTATATTGTAAATAAAAAATATTTTCAAAATTTTTAAAAAAAAATTATAAACTTTGAATAGAATTTTGAATTGTGTGTTTGATTATGAGTTGTAAATTTTTAAATCAAATATCATGTCACATCAAAAATTTAAAACTCATAACCAAATAAATTTTCTACACTCAAATCATAATTCCAAAACTTACAAACTCAAAATACAACTCTATTCTCAAATTATTATTCCAAAATTCTACCAAATGCTTTTCCCTTTCACATTCCCCACACCTTTTCTTTTCCCTTTCTAAATCCTCATCCACATTCATAATCCAAATACAATAGCTATGTTTGAATCATGGATTTGGATTGGGATTTAAAATGGAAAACATTAGGAATATGGATGGGTGAGCTAAATTTTTTCTCGGTTCCCTTACATTTTCCTTTTCCTCTTTAAATTTTTATCAAAATCTATGATCCAAACACAACTATAATGAGTCTCCCCTCATGCAAAACGGTTGTGTCCAGTTTTGTAATTAAATTCTGAGTTCAGAAATTTTCATGTGAAAATCTGACCTAAATCAACCCCAACCAATAAACTAGTGCCAACAAAGAGTAGGTAAGCACCCATTGACTGTTACATCTGGACCTGCCGTGCCAATTGATCAATGACACGTAGGAGTTGAATGCATATATATATATATATACATGTTAGGATTTCGTTTTCTGTATAGCTCAGTAGTTAGTAGCCCTTTAAATCAGAAAAGACATTACGTGAACATACACTACCACTTCCTGTCAACAGAGAGCAATGTAATATATACATAAACAAATTTTTTTATCAATTTTTCTTTATCACTAGACTACACATACAAATAATAGGGCTTAAAATAATAAATACATATGTAGCCTAGGCTACAACCCCATACGTAGCTACAACCCCTTTATGTCTAGCGATAAGAAAAGTAGGTAAAAAATTTGTTTATGAATAACATTTTCCCATTAACAATACTTCTTATTCTTTCGCATTTTCCTCTTTCTTAATTTTAATTTCATGGAATCCATATGACTCAAAAAAGTTAAAGAAAAAAACGGTTAAATGCACGTAGATTAAGACGGGAGAGGGGCATAAACAAAGATGAAGTCCACAGGTAAAGCCCAAACTAAAGTTAATGAAATGATAATGAAAGGAAGGGGAAAGACTCGATCCAAGGTTGAAAAGCAGCCTACACAACGCCCAAGAAGTACATATATATATATAACTATATGTTGGGAAGATTTTCAAGTGATTTCCAAAGTGGGCAATCCAACTTTCATTGCATGAGTGTAATGGACCCATTGCAAAATGCATTTCAGCAAAAAGAAAAGGTGTCTATTAAGATCTAGCAACGACTAGATATATATCTTTTATGCCTATAAAGTTTTAACTTAACATCGCACCATCCTGGTCCTTGAGCATTAAAGCAGGGACCGAAAACAAAAAGGCAACCGATTTTAGAATTCTCTCATCGGTTTGTGGGAGAAACTAGTAGAAAGAATGAAAGGGTGACAAATCTAATAACATGTTAGCATGAACTATGGTGTTCCATTTAAAACTAAAGTGTATCTCCTGCCGATCTTGTTTGCAAAATAGGTTTGATTTGCTTCACCTATGCGAATTGGAGGTGTATGAATTCTTGAGTAGGCTTGCTAGACACCCACCAATTGGTTTGCTCTGCATTCTCACCACGTTTCTACCGGGGAGAAAATGTGGGCCTATAGAAAATCTCCTACCTCCAATTAACCTAAGAAATTTTGAATAGCAAGCTTTTTGCCCTATTTATATCAAATATCACAGGTATTGCGTAGTGACCTTAGCAAGTTGCTTTGCATGTTTTCTTCAGCTATTATCACCGTTTTATTATAATAGCAAACTCATAGCTCAAACCACAAAATGGAAGGAGAGAATTGGGCGTCAGCTTGGAGAGACCCTTCTTTTATTTGGTTCATTTGAGAAAGTGATGGTAGAGATAAGAAAGATTAGGGTTTCAGCGTTCTTACTTTAGGCGGCCAGCACCGAACTGATCTGCAAACAGTTGAAGTTCTGAGATTGTGTCTGGGGTAAAACCAGCAGCTTCCGCTCGAGCACAAGCTGTGGTTAAGTCCTGCCTTACAGCAACAAGCCGTACATCAATAGCTTTCAGAAGTTCCTTCCTGTGTAAATGGAAAAATTCAAAGTACAGATGAGAGAGAGAGAGAGAGAGAGAGCATGTTAGAGTGGTTATTTGGGATATTAACCAAAACAAACTGGATGGCTAAGGCAAATTTAACCATTTTGGTTCGGTAGCAAAAGCATAATAATCTTCCATAAGTGGCAAACCAGGATGGATAGTCATACCTATTAACGTCTGACCTCTACACTACTTGTCAATATCAACTGTCCACTTCATCTGAGGCATGGTTATATCTCATAATTTGTCATTACTTCAGATAACAGTAACCAGTTATGCCAGCTTTGCACAACCATAAGAACTGGTAACTCACAAATTAAATGAGAATTCTGTACGCTAATATTTTCTTGTTACCTGTCACATCAAAGGCACACTAGCAAACAGACCCTAAGGGTCCATTTGGATAGAAGCGGATTTCAAATCAAGGGATTTGCGATTAAAAAGATTGGAGAGTTTGCTATTCTAGGTGGAGAGAAAAACTACAGAAAAGAAAAGTTCAAATAGAAGATATGGGATCCTTGTAGCTAGAAGAGAATTCTTAGCATGATTTCAAACAACTTTTTGGGTTAATTACGCTTTTCACCCCTGTAAGTTTGACCCAAATTTTGCTTTTGTTCTTATAGTTTCAATTTGAACAATTTGATCCCTACGCTATAAGTTTAGTTTCAATTTGGTACTTCAATCTAAATTGGTAGTCAAAATTAATAATTTTGGGGCATTTGTCAATTTTCTAAATTTTCAATTTGGTTCTTCTATTTAAATTGGAGGTTAAAATTAACAATTTCGGAACACTTGTCAATTTTCTAAGATGTACATGTAAAATTACCCAAAAAAATAGAAGAAAGAACCAAATTGAAACTAGACTTAAAGTGTAAGGACCAAATTGTTCAAATTGAAATTATAGAGACTAAAGTGGAATTTGGATTAAACTATAGGGGTAAAAAGTGTAATTATATATAGTTATTTCAAATCCATCATGATAAAACTATTCAATTCAATCCTGAAATTCATGGATAAACTATCAAATCTAAATTTGAGTTATCTCCTTATATAATTGATTTCAAATCGACATCCATCCAAACAGACCCTTAGTTTCCGAAAAGTCCTAGACCAATCACTTAATGCAGGCAACTTCCACAAGCCATCATGAATCACATCAAGGAAAGAGAGCCTCTCATCTTACACCATTTTACTTCCTAAGCTTTACAATAAGGCCAGCACAAGACATTCATAGGTTGAGAGAGAACACCCAAGGTAACAAGAAATTTAATTGGTTACTTTATACAAGCTATGCCACAATGGTGTTTTAATAAAGCAACAAGGACAAGACAACAAACTAATCACTACACTCAATCCAAATATCCTGAAACAATTAAGCAACATGGAACGCGGCCCCGCGCGCGCACACGCACCCACACACACACACACACACACACACACACAGAGAGAGAGAGAGAAGGAAGTACTACTTTGTTGCATCAGCTGCTGCTGTGACTCCATCCCCACCTAGATCAAAATTAAGATCCAATAACTGTGTCAGAGAACCAGTAACAACTCATACTCCACCAAGAATCTAGATTAATGTGGCTAACTCCAATTTTAAAATCGTTGTTAAGATTCAGAGACCTGATGGCCAAGTAAAATGAAATTAAAAAGATTGTCTGACATAACAGAACTGATATCCATGCAATTTATTCATCATCACGAGCAAGATGGGTAAATGCCATGTGAAGTCAGGAAAAGATGGACAAAAATGGCAACATAAAACAGTTAACCAATAACAGATTTTACAGCAAGCTTGGTTCTTTATCACTTGGACATGTGTCGTTGGTGGAAACCAACCAATCTGAATCCATCAAAAAAATTTTGAATATTCTGAAATCAAACTTTCCCCATACTACTTCAAAAATTTTCTGGACACAGTATTGGGAATACTAAAAATTTTCTGCAATATAAGAAAATACAGAAACATGTGTAAGTGCCCTGGGGGATGCCCCTTGTAGCATGTAATTCATGTCCATTTATTCTTTTAATATTATTCTTATTTTTCAAAAAAAAAAGAGAGAGAGAAAAGAAGCTAAAACATAAGATCTAATTGCAAGGACAAAAAGAAAGGGTAGATTTGATTTTTGGAAAGTTGTCCTTGAATAATAGGCACGTACAGTACAAGATGTGACTGATGGTGTCTAGGCACATTGTGGTTAAGCAAACTGTGTCCAAACAGTGGCGGAGTGTCACGGGTTGCCTTGCAAGGTCAACTCCGTAACGTTTTGCTCATGGTGGCATAACTATTTGAGTGCTCAAGAGTGGCCCTTGGAAGAGCCTAGGTGATGGGCATCGAGATTCCAAGTCAGTAGTTCGGTGCCTCAATGTGGCCCCAAGGTTGGCCCCAAGAAGCCCAAGGCATACATGCCACCATGCAGCCAGCAGCACACCCAAGCAGCAAGGCTGCAGCACAGGCCGTGGCTCAGGCTGCAGCCCAGCCGCCCGCCCAAGCCGCAGCAAGACCACAGACAGGCCGCAGCACAAGCTGCAGCCCACGCCAGCAGCCAGCAGCCAGCAGCCAGCCACAGACAGGACACAGACAGACCGCGGCTCAGGCCACAGCCCAGGCTGCCTGCCAGCCTTGCCGCCCACAGCCCAGGCCACGGCCCAGCAGAGCAGCCAGCAGCAGCAGCCAACAGTGCAGAGTTTTGGCGCGTTGTTTGTGCATCCAAATGAAGGAATTTTTGGCTGAAATTTTTACTGGAAAAAAGTCTTGGGGGAAGTGTTTTCCCAACCAAGTTTCGTGATTTTTCTCAATTTGTGAAATTTTTGAAAAATCATTATGACTCCTCAGACATAGGGCATGTTTCCTCTGGTTAGTTTGTTAAAGGCTTAACAAGCATATATAAGGGGGCACGGTGTGCTACCTACCTACCTACCTCCCCGCCCAAACTGGGCTTGAAGTGAGCAACCTTAGGGCACCTTAAGGGTGGGCCTTAGGCATCCAAAGGGGTGTCTAGAGTCTCCACGCGGGTTTGGGAGCCCCGTGGATGGTGCAAAATGTAAGCACTGTGCGTGCCTCCCAGGCGAGAGGTTTAACACGTTTCCACTATGCCACGCATTATGGCATCTTGGGGACTCATTTTAGACCAAATGGGCTACCGAGGCACCACCAAAGGCCTCGTGTGCCAACTCAAGTACTTGGTTTGGTTTCAACCTTGCACGTGGGAATCCAATGGCTTAAACTAAGCGGTTGGAAGGCAACACCGCATATGTGGGCTATTGAATGAAGGCATCAAGCAATGCATTAACTAAATCCATTGAGGGATGACATTATGCTACAAGCAAACTACGGATTGAGACGTTGCCTTACTCAAGCGACATGTTGGTGCAATGCTAAAGTGCACAATAGCCTTAGGTGGAATCTAACACCCATGGTGGCATGAGGACTAAAACATGGGAAAGAGATTAACCCTCGGTGTCTTGTCAGCTAAGTTGAGGGCCTTCACTAGCACATTGTTGTGTGGCTAGGCACCTTGATGACATGAACCTAAGTTGAGCGAGCACCTTGATTGAGATCAGCTTAGCGCTCTGAAGCGACTTATGCCGTGCTTTATACACTTGAGGTGTTAGGCCTACTTGTGGCATCCAGGTGAAGACGGAACTTTCTTGTAGAATTGTTCTGCTTGATAAAGCATTGGGCCCTAATATTCAAAACGGATGAGATCATTAACACTCGATTTGTCAATGAGCTATGGTGGGCTTAAACTTGGTGGAGTTTGAGTGCCACACAGGCAAAAAATTGATCCATTGCGCCTCTAAAGGAGTCGGTCTGTGACACAGAGCAGGATTTATTGTCAGTGGGTTAATATTTAATACATTAGTATTAACCTACTGAAGAAAAAAAAAATTGCAAAAAGCTAAAAACATCCTATTTTATTTTTTATTTTGAATTAAATTTCCACTACGAATAACATTTTAGAAAACTTTTTCAAAATTTTTATGTTAAAACTTGGTATTCTTTTCAACTATATAATTTAGTGGGGTCATTTTGATGAAATTCCAAAACATCACTTAATTTTTTGAGTTATCCTATGAAATTACAAAATATTAGTTAAAATGTTGAATCAACCCCAGTTATCTCTCAAATTTCAGTGGGTTCAAATGAACCCACAGGCTATAATAGTTCCGCCCATGTGTCCAACACAGGTGCAATACCTCTGTAAGTATTCATGGCAATTAGCTTGAGACCAACCATTTTTTATATCAAATAGGCAAAAGAAAAAAAAAGACACCCTACCATAAAGAGTGAAGAAATACAATGAACTCAAATAGTCCATTTGAATCAAGAGATTTGTTGATAAATGATAAAAATAAAGGAAGAGAGAGAGAGAGATAGAGAGAGAGAATGAAAACTCTTTCCTCATGTTTGGTTTATAAATTAAAATGGTGAGAAAGAGAACTTTATTATTTTATAGGTTTCTTTCTCCAACAAAAGTTGTGAGATTTGGTGAGAAATTAAAATGGTGAGAAAGAGAACTTTATTATTTTATAGGTTTCTTTCTCCAACAAAAGTTGTGAGATTTGGTGAGAAACAGACTGATTGGCTAAGAAGCACGGACACGGACACGGACACGCACACGCGACACGACACGGACACACAAAAACGCAAATTTTCAAAAAATAGGGGACACGACACGCCGGGAACACGTTCAATATATATAATTAATTTTATTTATTATATGTCATAACTTTCTTTTCTCATCTAAATGAGAGATTTCAATCATTTCTTTTCTATTCTCATCATGTGATCCAAATGGAGTAAAAGAACACCATATTTGTTTTTTCTACTTAAAATGAAATGATGCAATAACCCTCACTTGGTTTTAGATTCACATCCCGTTTTGGAAACACAAAACTAAGTTTTGGACCCCATGTTGATCAAGAAGCCCTTGTACTCTTAATGAAAAATGTTAACATATCTCTGAGTCATTGGTTATCACTTCTCTAGTTGTTGAGGTTTAGTATGTTCATAGTTTTTGATTATGTTGTAGATTGGGAACTTGGGTAGTGTGTGCATATTATCCCACCTCACCATATATCATTCCCACATCACCAAATACCTCCACATGTCAACCTTGTGAAGGCAAGTGGACAACTAAATTTAGGACACATCTTTTTTTCCTCTACTCCCCAATGAGTTGAGCCATGCATGACCCACACCTAAACACTAAGGGAATGCCTATAAGGCATTCGATGTATGTATGCTCAGTAAATACTAGAGGTACAACTTGATTCAGTTTGGTTCGATTCAACGTGATTGACATCAATTCAAAACCAAACCAACTTTTGATCACTCATATTTGATTAACCAAAACCTATAAAGCACAGACACCTCCCAAAGGCTTGTGTATCAGTGTCGTACACGGACGCACGTCGAACACACTATGGACAAGTGTCTGACACTCTCCCTAAGGTGTCCCTTTTTTTTTTTGGAATGTTTTGCAGCCTAACACATTTTGGGCACGCTCGGGCACATTTAGGACATTGCGGGGTACAAAACAAAATTTTTGAAACTTCCAAATGTGGCTAAACTGCAAAAAAACAAAAACTAAAAAAAAAAAGAGAGAGAAGAGAAAATCAATCGAAGAAGGAGAAGAGAAAGAGGGTGAAGAAGAACCTGAACAAGCTCAAGAGGGTGAAGAACCAGTTGAAGCCTAGATCGAGGTATGTCCTTCATTCTTCTTCTTTGCTTCGTTTTTCTTCTTCTTTCTTCAATTCGCAGATCGTCTCTCTACTTGTGTGTCCTTCGGCTCTCTCTCTCTCTCTTTCTCTCTCTCTCTCTCGCACTTCGTCTCCTCCCTCTCTCTCTCTCTCATTTTTTCGGTCTTCTTTCTTGATCTATCTCTCTTTGTTTTCGTCTCTCTCCCCCTCTATTTTCTTTATATCTGTTTTGTGTTTATATACATATATATTTTATTCTTTTTTACAAGAGTTTAAAAATTCATTTTTTTTTTTATTTCTTTTTCTTCTCTATTTGATAAGAGATTAAAAATATCTTCTTTTTTTTTATAACAAAAATCTTTTTTTTATTTTATATCTCAGCCCCCTTTTTCTCCTCTTTTCATTTTTTCTATTTTTTTATACTCTTGTTTGCTTAACCTTTATATAGAACTAATTATTTTTATTCGTTAGAAAAAATTAATTTATTGAATGTGATTATTAATTTTATTGTTTTATTGAATGTGTTTATTATTTATATTGTTATTGTAATTTCATAGGAATTTTTTATTCTTAAATATGGCATTTGATGTTAAAGTAGTGAAATGTATGTTTCTTTTAATTTTTTTGAGTGTTATTTTGCATTTTTAATTACCTTCCAGTGACTTTTTCTTTTTCTTTTTCTTTTTTTCAATTTTAGACATACAATAAATAAATAAATAAAATTATACGTATTGAACGCGTCCCCAACCTATCGTGTCCCTCGTTTATTGAAAATTTGTACATCCACGCATCCGTGTTGTGTCCCATGTCCGTGCCCGTGCCTGTGCCTGTGCCTCATAGACCAAAACCAACCTAAGATGCATTAAAACCAAACTAAACCAACCCATGCAAAATTCGGTTTGGTTCAGTTATATGAAGGTTCTCCTAATTTTTAATTAAAATCACAAAATCTTTAAAAAAAATTATAAAAAGATTTCAAGTACAAACTTCAAAAATAAATAATTAAAAATTCACTAATATAAACTTAAGAGGCAATTCATCAAGTTACATGTATAATTAATTCCACAACAAAAGACTATAAAGAGTTTGATTACACTACAAAATTCACAATTCTAACTCCAAAGTAATAACTTATCAAAAGAAAAATCACTACAATAACATATGGTTAAATTACAAACACACCGCCCCTAAGGTTTGTTTAAAATATGGATTACCTTTCTAGATGTATAACAAATGACTCATTTCATTAATAAATGATCAAGTTAATTAACACTTTTTAAGGATGTGAAAAATATATTTCAATTAACAATTAAGGTAAATTTAATCTGTATTTTAAACAAACCTCAAGGGGGATTTTGTAATTTCTCCATAAAATAAAGTAAAAAATGTACCCAAAAAAAAGTTAAAAATGATCATAGAAGAAAGAAACTACACTTTTAGAGCTTAATCAAGCTATTGAAGACTGATTGCAAAAGAGGTAGACCAATGGATGTATATATACTCATTTAGAGATTAGGTTGTCTCATAGCCATCTATTATTGAATTCACCCCACCCGATAGTACCTTTGTACCTTTAATTGGAGATTTTAATAAAACATTTTGCTTCTCAAGTTATTAAACTATAATCTCAATAATAAACTAATAGGAAATAGGCATTCAACAAGGTGGTTGCAACTTCACTATGTGTACATAAGTAAACTATGCATAATAACTGGACCAAACAAAACAAAATACATTGGGTTCGGTTGGTTCTTAGATTAACCACACCCAACTTACAGTCCCACTCAGTCAATAGGATTGTCTTGAACTACCCACCCCCACACAAGCAACCTGGTGCACACAAAGGTTGCTAGGTCATACAAGCAAGGCCTAAGGAGATATTCGAGCTCAATGGGCAGTCATAATGCATCCTTTAGGCCACCTTCATGATCCCTAAGGTCAAGCAGCTTGACAGCTACTAGCTAGAGCTAAGGACTCGCAAAGATGCATTCCTCCTTTGAAAGATATGTGACTTGACTAATTTTAGAGAGCACGAGATGCCTCCCAACATCCTTAGCCTTTGGATATGCATGTCATGCTTCGTATGCCCACATACTTTAAAAAGTGCATTTCATAATTCCATTGTGTTCTCCACTACAATTGAGCCACTCCACTAAAACTATGCCAAGTCCTTCAAAGGCTGCAATTTGTGCTTGTACCAACCTAGACACATGCCTCTGAGAGATGTCAGTAGCCAGCCTCCATAACCCAACCCTTGTATAAAAAGAGGGCTGTAACAAACCCCATAGCTCTCTCTCTCTCTCTCTCTCGTGATTGCATCAGCTCTCACCCAACCTGTTATCCATTACTCCTATGCCACCCTACATGCTTTACTATAACTTCCTCCACTCAATCTCATAACCAAGGATTTCAAGTTGACTAGTAGTTTGGTAATAAGCTTTATTAATTCTTATTCTTTCTGGAATTAGTTGAACCCAATATAGAATTTTAGAAATCTTCCCACATTAGGAAGTTTCTCATCTGTAGAAAAGTTTTTCATTATTTTAATGCATATTGAGTCTAACAAAAGAGTGTTTTTTCAGTTTTACTTGTCACTATATTTACTATCAATTTTCCCATTCCACGGACATATATCTTGGTTAATTTTACTTCTTAAAGGTTCTTACTTGACTAGGAAATTTTTTAGAATCACAAATAAGGTCAACCATACTGCAACATGAGTTTAACACATCAAAAGTGATTGATGTTTGTTTATCTCCTCTATTGGATTCTTCATCTTTTCCACTTTTCATTATGGCCATCTAGGATTCCATAAATTTCTAGAACTATAACATCTAATAACCCTCAAATGCTATCTATTCCAACCTAAACCCCTTTACAAATCATTATGCATCCCCATTCTCTTCTATGACTGCAAAACCTACAACCATAAGCAATTCTACACCTTAGCCCACTAATGAAGTGATTGTAGTGAGAATTATTTTAAGGATCTAAGGAATAGGTCAGAAATGGGCATTGCATTCCACATATAATTGATTTTTGGTGTGCTTTTTTCTTTTTTCTTTTTTTTCTCTTTGGGTGGGATGACTATTAGGCGTTTGTTTTTTCATATCCAGAATCCAGAATATTTCAAGGTGAAAGAGAACAATCAAGTGCTTAGAGCCAGACGATAGAGAATGAAACATACTCAATGTGCCAGCAAGCTGATCTCCTGCTCCCTGAAATATAGAATTTTGCAAATTCAGAAAAAGAAATAACCTTTGCTCGAATTCTATGATTACAAAAATACATTTAAAAATGCTTTTGGAGTCACCACCTGCGAATAGATTCTACGAGCTGCTTCTAATTGAGACATCTCTGCATCATACGTATTGACCAATTCCAAAACCTCAGGGGTACTAACAAATCGCACAAACCTAAAGATAACAATTCCCAATTTACATTACATCAAAGTTGACAACCACAAATAAACAAAAGTTCAGGCTTTCAGTTGGTAATGTGCATAACCTCTCAAGTGTTCCTTTCGTAAACCAGGTTTCAGCATTTTTACGGCGTTCTACTTCAAGCTTAATTGACTGAACTGCCAATGCCACTTGTTCTTCTGCAACCTTCAAATGACTCACAAATGGTTTCACCAAACCTGATGCAAGCTTTTCGGTGTTTCCAGCACTGGAAACAAACAATTCACATCTGCTGAAAAAGAGTGTAAAAACCAAGTATTCAAAATGTACACAGCAAAAAACAACACGAAAAATACACAAAATTCATCAAATGAATGTATCCCCACCTCGAGCGCCTCGGTGACAGTTGGAAAACAGCATAATCAAGAGGAGTATCGGATTTCATTTTCCTCTGACTTCAGTGACACTATCTCTTCTCTAACTTCTTTCATACACTGTCTATTCCAGATCATATAAATCCTTGGTTAATTCAATCTCATAGCTGCAAAAGTAAACATTAAACGGAATGAAACACTTCATATAGAAATCAACAATCAAAAACACTGATCCGCACAGGAAATCACAATGTGACAATCACAAAAAAGCAATAATCAGTAAGCAGATGATACAATCAACATTTAACAGTACATTACAAATCCAAAATCTTCGAAACAAAATGCACCTAAAATTGAACTAAACTGCTAATGCAACCAGATCTGATTCGCGTTCACTGATTGTGAATACATGATAATCTAACAGAATCTGAAATGTACTAGCATGAAAGATAACGATTCCAATGAAAGTGAACTAAATCAGAAACCCTAACTTCGAAATTCGAGAGAAAACGGTGAAGGATCGTCGAAATTGAAACTGACCTCAACGATTTCACGAACTAGATCTTTCGATTACTGTTCAAATCCGAACCGACATTTCAGTTCTTCATGGACTCACACTGTTTCTTCTGTGATTTCGATAGAAGAGAAGACGAATTGCTTTTCGAAATCGTTTTTTGGGGCAATTTTGATTTTGTTTTCGGTTTTTCCAAAACCCTACAATGGACTCTGACTCATAGCTATCTTCGATGGTTTTCGCTTTACTCCTTCCTCAAAATGATCTCTCTCTCTCTCTCTCTCTAATCGAGATACAGTAGAGAGAGAGGCGAGCACTCGAGGGGGTAGAGAGAGAGTGGTTTGTTTGTTGCTTCAGACAAATATTTTTAATTACTGCAATCTTAACTAGGATGAAGGACACAGAGACGCTGGTTTATGTGTTTCAAATTTACCAAAAAAGCACACTTCTTCACAATTGTTGCTTCCTATTGAAATTACCATAATGCCCCTGGCTTTGTTATTTTGTTGTCCAACAAATTTAAAATATTTTTCTATAGTAGGGGTGTGAATTGTAAATTAGGTTGCATCTGTGGAGAAAATAAAGCAAATGTTACCAGTTTGATATCATTATATTGATTTTTAATCAACAATGATTCATCCCACTAAAAATATCACCACTAATAGCACTAATGCATTAAAAAAGTAAAAAAAAAAAAAAAATACAACTCCAAGACCAAAACATCACATCATTAATGGCGGGACCCACTGTCACCTAATTAGTGGGAGCACTAATTAGTGCTCCCAAGCATTTTTCATTTTCAATTCAGGTTAAGATTATTAACGCAATTAATATATTTACCAATTTATTATTACTAATTAATGTCACATAAAAATCATTTTATTCCTATTATGCAATAATCTTCTGAGGGGTTTCGAATCTACCATTAGTATACATCACTTTCTCATCTTTTTTTTCTTTTTCTTTTTTTTTGTCTTTTCAACCCCAACATTACCAAAGCCATCCAACCACTACCATCCACAACCATCAAAGCACTCCAATGCCAGTTACAGCTATGTTTTCTTCACCTCTACCACAAGAACCCATAAATACCTACTAAAGCCACCTAATGTTACTACCACGATCACTCTTTCTATATCTTTCACATTGGAATTGCCATTATATATTTTCATTTCTCTTTATCATATCCATATCCTTCATTACCGTTTATACAAATTCTTTACCACATCGTAATACTTAATTATTCACCTCCGAATAGAGAGATTCAAAACTCCAAAGGTAGAAATGAATGGAGACCATTAACACTATTTCTTATCTTTCTTAAGTAATAGAGATCTAAAAGAAATGTTATAATTGATCAGTAGCATTAGTGGTTTGTCAATGATTGTGATAGAAAAAATGACAAAGGTAAATAGAGATGGATCCTGTTAGAACCGATGAAAGTGGAAGTAACTAGTTCATGGCCTTGTAGGGGTTATGGAGTGTGGGTATAAAGGTTATAGTGACTAATATTACCACCACACACAAAAAAAAAAATCTTGGCATATTTGAGAAAATTTTAACTATTTTTGGAGCACAAAGATAGAGCATTAAATTTATCCACTGAAGAGTGGCACATGGCAAACAATTTCACATGGTTTTACAACATATTTTGGGAACTTATTTTTAAAGAGTGATGAGCATTTTCTTTGAAAAGCAATGGTTGTCTCTAACCTTGTGAACCAAATCAAGTATTATTAACAAATACCTAATCAACTGATCTTTCACACTTGGCATCCAAAACAATGACCCAATGGAGAAGTTACATCAAGAGTACAGTTGTCCACAATTGGCTGGATGGACCACTCAGCAGAGGGCAGGGGCATTTTGGACATTTCAAATTCATAACACAGGCAATTAAGGCATGGTCAACTGTAGATTGTGAGTTTAACGGTTCTTTAAAATAAGTCTGAAAATGAGAGTGGGAAATGGACAGATAGTGCGGCACAAGCAAAGAAAATTTGTTTTTTATTTTTTTATATCAGTTTTCTTTTCATAAATTAATGAGCTATTAATGTAATATTACAATAACAGCAATGATTCAGAGTGTTAATTTTGATATTTTAATAAAATACTAATGACGTGACAAGGAGGAAGAAAAAAAAAAACAAATCCAAAACATCACATCACAATGGGTGAAGTTCACTGCCAGTTCATTAGAGCTGACTTTAGAGTTCAAGAATTAAAGTTCCAAAACATTTTTCATTATAGTAATTAGCAATTGCCATAAATTTTTCTTTGTATTATCACAGTGATAACCTTCTTGACAATATAAATGTTGCTGGACAAGAATGACCCTTTAACTTGATTTGGGAAATTATATTAGCATACCATAAGAAATCTCAATATACATTATTTATTTTGTTCAGATATAAATTTCTGAATAAAAGACAAATGTCCAGACATAAATTGATGAACAAAAATAAATTGTTCAAATATGTATACCATTCAACGGTTTATGTTCGAACAATTACTTTTTCTTTATAAATTTACATCCGAATATTTATTTTTTGTTCATAATTTTATATCCAAACATATAAATAGTTTGTACTGAGGATTTTTGTGATATGTAAATAGAATTAACCACTCAACCTCTTTTCCTCCAATGATTTGAATGAGTAGTTTAGTTAGGTCCATTATAGATTTCACTCTGATAATTTGATATGTTTATTTTATAAATTTTAGTGCATAGAATTTATAGATCATACAAAAAATAAAAAATAAAATTGATACAATAACCACAACGATATAATTTTATCTCATTTCTTTCTAAAAGGGTAGCTCGTTGAAGTCCTCCAATTAAGAGAAATACATTTAAAAAAAGTTTCATTGATCTAATAATCATAATTACATTCATTTATTACATTTATTTTTTATTACACTTATTTTTTAAGATTGATCAAAAAATATAATTTTAAAAATATGATAAAACTATATAATTATAATTATTATATCAATTTGTTTTTTAATGAATAATTTATATACTAAAATCTATAAAATGAATCAATAAAATCATGGAAATTAAATTTGTGATAAGCCACATAAGCCCAATTGAAATGGTGAGAAACTCTCTTATTTTTATTTGCCTCTCCATAGACTATTATCAAATATGACGTAAAAAATCAAGTAATCCTCCACTAGACAGATGGTGACAGTGCTAGCTAAATATAAGTCCACTTCCACTCCTTGTCCACAAAAATAAATAAATAAATGAAAATTATAAAAATTAAAGAATTAGAAAGATATATAAGTTGTTGCATGCCCTAAATACTAATGTTGTATTTAGTTCTTAAATTTGTTAAATAAATGAAAATGAAAAGATGGATCGTACTTTACTTTAAACTTTTTACATTTTATTTTATTTATTTTTTAGCTCTCATAAATAAAATTTGAGAGATTATTTATTGCATATTTGACCAATATGCAGACATTGTCAACTATTTATTTTATTTTCTTTGGCATATCTCTAATTTGGTCCAATCTCTACTCTTATCTACAAGTTGAAGAAAGAATTATATATAGGCCAAGAGGCATTGGAATTTGGACCCAATGCCCCAAAAACCACGGCAAAACCTAGCGTATTGGATGGAATAATCTCAACTATCTTATTTGTTTTAACAAAAATATCATATCATTTAAGTGAAATGTATTAACAACAATATCATATTAAATGAAAAACTTTACAACATTGAAAGACAAATTTATAAATAAAACAAAATATAATGAAATTGATTCTATTTTTCTAACGTATCATTAACATGTTTATTTCCCTTCTATTTTAATAGTTGAATGGTCAAGCATAAAAGTTTTTGTTTTTACTTTTATTTTTTTAAGGGGAGTTTTAGGGTTTGGTCAAGTAATTTCTAATAAGAAAAATTTTGAAACCCTCTAAAAATGGTCCCTAAATTTACTCACAATAATTTATATTTCATTAGTTTAAAAATCAACCATCTAGGATTGAACTTTATCAAATCATTAGTGATGAATTTAAAAATGAGAAGTGATTGGTAGCTTGAATTTGAGCCCCCGAATTCCCCCGAATTCAAAAACGGCGTCTTTTTTGAATTTCTTTTTTTCAGAAGAAAATCAGAAGAAGGAGGAAGAAGAGAAGGAGGAAGAAGAACTGAACTGGATGGGCCATCAAAATCGGGCTGAAGGCGGAGGCGGGGTGGAGGAGGAGGCAGAGGCAGGGGGTAGAGACAGGAGGCAGAGGCGGAGGCGACGATAGGGCTACAACAAGCTGCGACGAGGCAACGGCGGGGCGACGATCGGGCGGAGGCGACGGCGGGCGGAGGGGCTGCCATCTCTTCCCCTCTCTTCCTCCTCTTCCCCTCTCTTCTCTTTCTCTCTTCTCTTCTATCTGATTCGGGGGATTCGGAGGGCTCAAATTCGGGAAAAAAAAACATTTTCCTTTAAAAATTATGTTTTTTAGGAATTTTTAATATTTGCTTTTACGATATCTTTCATACTTCTTCATATTTCATTTTGTGACGAATGATTGTTCTCCATACCATTATCCAATTGTTTAATAATGTTATTTTAAGGGCAGATTACTTTAGAGTATAGTGTTTCCCAACTAATAAATTTTTTTAACACATCATCTTTGTATCCTATCGATTTAAAGGAGGATATCACAACCATAAACTTGTTCACTACCTCATTGATCAAAACATCACGTGAATAATTTTTCATATTACAGGACTCTTTGGGGATTGTTTGGTGTCGTTCATTTGGGCTGCTTAAATAATTTTTATTTTTTATTTATTTTTATGTAATTTTTTTATAATTTATTAGACAAAAATAACTTAAATAAGTTAATTATTTGAAAGTTAAAAAAAAAAAAAAAAAAAAAAAAAAATTCTATTAAAGACCAAAACGGATTAAAATAGTGTTTTATTCAATTACATCAGATTAGGGACTTTTTTATTTTGTGGACTTGTTATTCAATATTTTTAGGGACAAAAAGTCTCCTGTTTTTTTTGAAGAATTGACAAAAATGGGGAAAAAAAAAGAAAGAAAAGAAAAACAAATTAAAATTGGTTCAAAGATTCTAATTTATGTGCCGTGTCAGCTGTAGCACAAAGAAGTTTTGTGACATGAAAGTGATCTGTATTTGTTATTCAATTAAATTAATCTTATGAATTAGTATATGATTTGTTATTCAATTAAATTAATGAGATAATCATTTATTATATATATATATATATATTTATTTATTTTTTCTTGTATATTTGAAATTATGATCCCAACCCCTTTTAATACTAAAAATTTATCAATTTTATTAGATTGAATGTCTGCCGTACATGTAATCTTGTTGATAAAATTTTCAGTCAAACATGAGATTGT